GCATCTGAAAGATGATGCAGAGCCCACCATAGATGCACCGAGAAAGTGCAGTGTCCACCTGAAGGACAAGATCAAAGCTGAACTAGATAACATGGAGAAGCAAGGAGTCATCAGAAAGATAGAACACCACACAGATTGGTGTAGCTCGATGACCACTGTTGTGAAGAAAGATGGATCCATAAGGATATGTCTTGACCCCAGAAGGTTGAATGATGCCTTGAAAAGGTGTCCACACAAAATTCCAACCGATCTTCGCAGGAGCTCAATTCTTCTCCAAGCTAGACGCAAAGGCTGGATACTAATCAGTTCACCTAGCAGAGGAATGCCAAGACCTGACCACCTTCAGAACACCATTTGGAAGATATTGTTTCCAACGATTACCCTTCGGCTTATGCACAAGCCAAGACATCTTCCAGCAACACATGGCTAGGATCGTCCAGAATGTGCCTGGCTGCGTATGTATTGCAGACGACATTGCCATTGTCGGAAAAACAGAGGAGGAACACAACAAGAATCTCCACTTACTCATGGAGACAGCGAAACAGGAAGGCCTCGTGTTCAACAGCTCCAAGTGTACTATCAAGAAGGAAGCTATCAGCTACTTTGGATCCATGTACACAAGATCTGGAATCTTCCCAGATCCAAGCAAGGTTGAAGCTATCAATACAATGCCTTCACCCAAGGACAAGGAAGATGTTCAGAGATGCCTAGGATTATTCACATACCTAGCACCATACATACCTAATCTATCAGAGAAGTCAGCACCTCTTTGTGAAGTCCTTCACAAGGAAATTCCATTCGTCTGGGACGAGGATCACGAACATGCCTTTAATAGCCTGAAAAGCGCAGTCTCATAGGGTGCATGCCTGCAGTTCTTTGACCCAAAGAAAGAGACAACCGTGGAGGTAGATGCGTCGATGAAAGGGCTGGGAGCATGCCTGCTTCAAGATGGCAAACCTGTAGCTTTTGCATCCAAAAGTCTCTCCAATGCGCAGTCCAACTACTCGAACATAGAGAGGGAAACCTTAGCCCTAGTGTTTGGTATCACCCGATTCCATACATACCTATTCGAGAAGGAATTCACTGTGATAACAGATCACAGGCCTTTGGAGACAATTTGGAAGAAACCTCTAAGAAGCTCACCACCTCGTCTACAGAGACTACTGATCAAGGTACAAGGATACAGATGCCAAGTCAAGTACCGACCTGGGAAAGAAATGATTCTTTCAGATACCTTGAGCCGTCTTCCTAACCCCAAGGAAGCATGCGATGTTCCACTAGACGTCAGAGTGGAATCCATCTGCTCCGAAGTAGAAGACACTCATCAAATCGACTTGATCTTCTTCGGACAACACAAGAGAACAGAACTCCAGAGGGAAACATCCAATGACCCTGTTCTTAGGTCATTGTGGCAGACAGTCACTCAGGGTTGGCCTGAAACTCTCCGGGAGCTGCCGACATCCCTAAGGGAATTCTGGTCTTACAGAGATGAGATTGGAGTGTCACAAGGAGTACTCTTCAAAGGAAGTCGAGTGATCATACCAAAGACACTTCGGGAAGACATCCTTGGACAACTTCATCTGGGACACATGGGAATTGAGAGCACCAGACGACTAGCTCGTGAGACAGTGTTCTGGCCACACATCAACAAGGACATTGAACAGCTCGTAAAGCAATGTGCTGCATGCCAGGAACACCAGTCAAGGCAACAGAAAGAGCCGTTGCTCCCCCATGATGTACCTTCAGCACCTTGGACTAGACTAGGGACAGATTTGTTCATGCTCAACAGACAAAGACTATTTACTCGTCACTGACTATTACTCAAAGTATCCGATAGTCTACAAGCTGACTGACACATCAAGTGCTGCAGTAGCGAACGTGATGAGTGGAATCTTCAGTCTATTTGGTCCACCAGAGGAGATCGTATCGGACAACGGTCCACAATTTGTCGGGAAGCACTTCAAGGACATGTGCCGGAAGTGATCGATTACACATACAACCTCTTCACCTCACTATCCAAGATCCAACGGACTAGCTGAGAGAATGGTTCGTACCGTCAAGAATCTGTTGAAAAAGTGTTCACAGACTGGCCAAGACAGTCAACTGGCTATGTCACACCTAAGAGCAACACCTGTTGACAGTCACATGAGATCACCTGCAGAGATGTTGTTTGGAAGACCCATCAGAACAACACTGCCATTATCTTTCAAGAGAATCTACCACTACTGATCATCTCTTGAATCGACAGAGTAAGATGAAAGAAACGCACGATCGACATGCGGGTCCAGATCTTCCACCACTCCAGGTAGGACAACCAGTCAGAGTCCTACATCCATCATACTTGGATACCAGCCAAGGTATCAAAAGTCTGCGACGAGCCTAGGTCGTATGAAGTATCAACACCCAACGGAGGAATCCTGAGACGAAACCGATCTCACCTGAGGGAGATTCCATCGTCAACCAACCCAACTCCAAAGCGTGTTAGGTTCGACGAAGACTACACTTCATCTACTCAAGCAGAAACACCACAACAAAATGGCAACAAGCATCAACCAACTCAAACACCAGAAACTCAGAACATTCAATCTAAAGGACCAACGACAAACTCGCAAACCACAACTAGATATGGACGCAACATCCGTACCCCAGCGAGATATTTGTTTGAAGATTGAAACTGAACTCTTAAATTTCTTCAAAGAAGAGAGAAGATAAAGAAGAACACAGAAGACGCTTAGTTTAATGTAGTCTAAGAAGTTTATTGTTCATATGTATAATCATTGTACAGTATTTTTGGCATGACAAGCATAATGTTTACAAGTCTAAACAGATGCTAGCCCAAACATGTTTCATTTGGAAATTCATTTTTAAAAAGGAATCAAGTTATATCACAACTATGTTCAATCTTGCAGATCAACTGTGAAGTTGGAAGTGGAACGATATAATTATTTATACAGTTATACTCATTCGTTAATACAATACAAAGAAACGTATTGAAAACAAATCAATATTTTATGTTATATAACCCGATTGGAAAAAGTTTATTAGGAAGCAAATAATCAAAACTTGCATACTACCAAAAGTATTGTTATCAAAGCAGTCCATATTATTAATACGCAAAATCGCCGCGGGGGGTCCAACACGGGCCAAAACGGTTCCTCAAAAACGTCTTTCCCCGACCGCGCCCGCCTCCGCCGGGGCGCGGGGACGGCGGCACAATTACACGAGGCCTGTCTCCCGTAACCCGCGTGCCACGTCGACCCCGTGATCGACGTCCATGCCGTGCCGAGTCGGGAAGGCGTGCATCCGCCCTTTGTGCAATCAACAAAGAGACACACAGCGGACGAGAATCCACTTCTGTCAATGGGTGTAGCACATCACGTAGTAACGGGTGTGGCTTACCCCGAGTTTAGGCCTCTTGCTATAGGATACGCTTTGTAGCATGTAAGAGAAATACACATTAACAGATGACTCACCCGGGTGAGGGGATGTAAAAAAATGCACGCTCTCACGGGTTGGGCTTACCCGTGTTATGCATCTTTTTATATGATATGCTTTGTAGGCCAGCCGGACCTGCTGCGGGTACGAACGTACGTGTATAATGTATGCGATGATTCTACGCTCACCGTCACACGCACAGCTCAGTCGCTTCATCTTTTATTCTATGATGATTGCCGTGATTTATATATAGTTTACGCAAATAGAGGTATGCAAGCAGGGTTACTTTGGTATTATCCTGTTCATGTTTACTGAATTTTGAAAATCATTCTTCAAAGTAAAGTTTTCACAAGAAACTCATCGTAACTGACAGTTCAGTTGCAAGCTAGCTGCCGTGAGGCACGGGCAGTGCAGTGCGCTACTGCTGCCGAGCACTGTCGGAACTGTGACTGTGTGACTGTGACTGTGTGAGGTGAGGTGAGCTGAGCTGAGCTATTATAGAGTAGACTCGACACCATTTTGAAATTGCTCTTATTGCCCCTATTTCAATATAGTTTCGTGACTATAGAGGTATGAAACCTGAGTTTAGATTGTGATTATTCTGTCCATGTATAGTTGTATGCTGAATTTCGATAATCATTTTTCAAAGTAAAGTTTTCACAAGAAAATCAGACGGTCGTTTAAAAACATAGCCATTGGCATTGTCTATAGCTGGATAGAATACTTATACTATGATACAGTTCCTTCATCAAATCAATGCATTAAAACGGGTATTACGGTGCGCCATTCATGGTCAAACAGCATTATAAAAATCGTCTAGATTCTAGGCCTAGACCTTATATAAAAATAATCAAATTTTATTTTCGATAGCACATAGGGTCTAGGCCTCTTTCTATTTACCCCTCCCCTGCCCTCCCCCTCCCCTGCCCTCCCCCTAGAATCCCGTGGATTTTCCACGGCTCCTGCTAGTATGTTATTAATCATCAATCAGTGATGTTCACTGATTCCCAATCTTTCCAGAGGAAGGGGGATGTTAAGATATGCGATATCCGAATATCCGGTATCCGTCGTAGTTTAATAAACATGTCTCCATCACAACAAACCTGACTGCCGATTCGTCTATTATCATGAGTATCTACCAATAGGCCATTTTCGTAATGTAACCAAATTTAATGCATAGGTCTTTGTGAAGTGCCTCAATACAAACTATTTCATTCACCTGATAAGAATAATAGTATTTCAATAGACAGAATCCTAACTGCATACACTAGTTGTTGCCAGGTTGGACAAACATTATGGCTTGACCTACCTAGCAACACTTAATATATGCAGTTGCATTCTGACTATTGAAATACTATTATTCCTATCGGGTGAATGAAATAATTGGTATCGAGGCACTTCACAAAGACTTATGCATTAAATTTGGTTACATTACGAAAATGGCCTATTCTAAGACCCTCGACCTCATCAGTGTTGGGTGAGATTTCTTTTCTTAGAAAACCTTTTCTTGCAGTGTGAACATTCATATGGCTTTTTTCTTTTGTGTACGAGGAGGTTTTGGGTGAGATAGCTTTTCTTAAAAAACCCTTTCTTGCAGTGTGAACATTTATACAGCTTTTCTCCTGTGTGTGTTTGTAGGTGTCAGGTAAGAGTACTTTTCAGAGAAAACATTTTCTTGCAGTGTGAACTTTCATATGGCTTCTCTCCTGTGTGTGTGAGGAAGTGTCGGGTGAGATTGCTTTTCTTAGAAAACCCTTTCTTACAGTTTGAACATTCATATGGCTTTTCGCCTGTGTGTGTTAGGAGGTGTTGGGTTAGAGTGATTTTCTTAGAAAACCTTTTCTTGCAGTATGAACATTCATAGGGCTTTTCTCCTGTGTGTGTTAGGAGGTGTTGGGTGAGACTACTTTTCTCAGAAAACCCTTTCTTACAGTTTGAACATTCATATGGCTTTTCTCCTGTGTGTGTTAGGTGTTGGGTGAGACTTCTTTTCTCATAAAACCCTTTCTTACAGTTTGAACATTCATATGGCTTTTCTCCTGTGTGTGTTAGGTGTTGGGTGAGACTTCTTTTCTCATAAAACCCTTTCTTACAGTTTGAACATTCATATGGCTTTTCTCCTGTGTGTGTTCGGAGATGACGTTTAAGAGTACTTTTCAGAGAAAACCTTTTCGTGCAGTGTGAACATTCATATGGCTTTTCTCCTGTGTGTGTTTGTAGGTGTCAGGTAAGAGTACTTTTCAGAGAAAACATTTTCTTGCAGTGTGAACTTTCATATGGCTTTTCTCCTCTGTGTGTTAGGAGGTGTTGGGTGAGACTTCTTTTCTCATAAAACCCTTTCTTACAGTTTGAACATTCATATGGCTTTTCTCCTGTGTGTGTTCGGAGATGACGTTTAAGACTACTTTTCAGAGAAAACCTTTTCGTGCAGTGTGAACATTCATATGGCTTTTCTCCTGTGTGTGTTAGGAGGTGTTGGGTGAGATTGCTTTTCTGAGAAAACCTTTTCTTGCAGTTTGAACATTCATACGGCTTTTCTCCTGTGTGTGTGAGGAAGTGTCGGGTGAGACTTCTTTTCTCAGAAAACCCTTTCTTACAGTTTGAACATTCATATGGCTTTTCTCCTGTGTGTGTTAGGAGGTGTTGGGTGAGATTTCTTTTCTGAGAGAATCCTTTCTTACAAAAGTAACATTCATATGGCTTTACTCCTGTGTGTGTTCGGAGATGAAGCTTGAGTACATCTTTCCGAGAAAATCCTTTCTTACAATAGCAACATTGATAGGGCTTTTCCCCTGTGTGCGTTAGGAGGTGTTGGGTGAGATTTCTTTTCTCAGAATACCTTATATTACAGTGTGAACATTCATGTGGCTTTCCTTCTGGGTGTGTTAGTAGATGACAATTGAGTGCACTTTTCAGAGAGAATCTTTGTTTACAATAGCAACATTCATATGGCTTTTCTTCTGTGTGTGTTAGTATATGATGGTTGAGAGCACTTTTTTGTGAAAATCCTTTGTGACAATAGCAACATACATATGGCTTTTCTCCTGAATGTGTTAGTATATGACGATTGAGATGATTTTTTTGTGAAAATCCTTTCTTACAATAGCAACATTCATATGGCTTTTCTCCTGTATGTATTAGTATATGTTGATTGAGTACACTTTTCTGAGAGAATCCTTTCTTACAAAAGTAACATTCATATGGCTTTTCTCCAGTGTGTGTTAGGAGGTGTTGGGTGAGATTGCTTTTCTTAGAAAACCTTTTCTTGCAGTATGAACATTCATATGGCTTTTCTCCTGTGTGTGTTAGGTGTTGGGTGAGACTTCTTTTCTCAGAAAACCCTTTATTACAGTGCGAACATTCATGGGGCTTTTCTCCTGTATGTGATAGTTTATGACGATTGAGTACACTTTTCTGTGAAAATCCTTTCTTACAATAGCAACATTCATATGGCTTTTCTCCTGTATGTATTAGTATATGTTGATTGAGATCATTTTTCCGTAAAAATCCTTTCTTACAATAGCAACATTCATATGGCATTTCTCCTGTATGTGCTAGTATATGACAATTGAGTGTACTTTTCCGAGAAAATCCTTTCTTACAATAGCAACATTCATATGGCTTTTCTCCCGTATGTATTAGTTTATGACGATTGAGTACACTTTTCTGAGAGAATCCTTTCTTACAATAGCAACATTCATATGGCTTTTCTCCTGTATGTGTTAGTATATGACGATTGAGATCATTTTTCCGTAAAAATCCTTTCTTACAATAGCAACATTCATATGGCTTTTCTCCTGCATGTGATTTCACGTGGAGAAGGGAATGACTGGCCTGACATGATCTCTTACTGCAACATGGACACTGATGTAGCTTTTCTCCAAAATGTATCCTCAGATTAATGTCGAGTTGATCTTTTGTGGAAAACACCTTGCCGCAATGTGAGCAAAGATGAGATTTACCTCCACTGTTGATCGACTCTCCACGTTCTACCGTCTCTTGTTCGTTGTTAACAATATCACCTGGTGGCGAGAAAGAGAAAGCTCATGTCATCGACACCACAGATACAGCGTAAGAAAGTACATGAGTGTCCTGTCACTTCAAATTGAGACAGCAGTTTTTGGATTATGTTCTGAACTTCTGAGAGAAAGATGAATATGCCAAAAATGGATTCAATGGGTTCAAGCATGTAGGCTGTCTAATTGGTCAAATGACACCACATGACCATGCATCCTTGTTTCCAACCATGCCTACCCTGCAAAAAAAATTCCTATCAAATTTTTGGACTACCATCTGGTTCCATCTACTTTTTATATATTATATTAGGGACAGATCACATACATGTAATTGCCTACTCACCTTTTTTAAGTGGAGGGCCAAAGTCAAATATCATGCTTAGTTTTTTTAGTTTGTTGCCACTACCAGTATACCACATAAACTAAGCACACCTTGTTTATCCAAAAGATTGTATCATAATAATACACAATATTTCAGAGGTGTTTTTTTATAATTTGTAGTGGTCACCCCTAAATTGGTTACGGTAAGTGGATGCAAAATAGACAAAAGACAAATGGTGATTGGCAAGATGCACTTTTTTTTCCTTATTACTTGTTTGCAAAGAGTGGGCTAACGGACATGCTACGAGCTTAGCTATAAAGATGCCTGAAGTCTGACAATTAATGAATGGGTTAAAATCTGCATGAGCTGAATTATATCAAAGAACGCAGATTACGGTGATAGGTCCTGATCCAGGGTTGGTATATTTCCCGCTTCGGAGGCTTATTTCCCGGATGCCAGGAAATAAGCGGTATTTACCGGGAAATATATTTTTTCACTCTTTTGTTCATAGGGATTGTTCAATTTTGAACATTATAACAATGGTGGTGAGTATGGTTGCTCTGGTGTGTACTATTTGTGTGTGTGCGTGTGTGTGTGTTTGTTCGTGTGTTTGTCCATTATGAAATGCTTGAAAAAAATACAGGACAAAGATCCCAAATATACACCTAATCTAGATATCATGTTCTTCATTAAAGATATTTTATCAAAGAATTTTATTGAATGAAAAGAAGTGTGAATTCATGGTTATTACATCAAATCATAAACGAAGGTCATTTGATATAATATCAATATCCAGATAAACGGAATCCCTCTGAAAACTGTTAAGACAATGAAGTATCTAGGAGTTATTTTAAAAGAGAAAATGAATTGGCAAGATCAAGTCACACACGTAAAGAAAAAAAGCGTTATCCAGTATATATTGTTTAAAACGTTTGAGACCATATATTTCGCAAGATACAGCCGTAATGTTATATAAAACCCTTGTGCAACCTCATTTTGATTATTGTTTAGCATTATGGACAAATGCTTGCAAAGCTCATCTTAAGCAAATATCAGTAATTCAAAATAGAGCACTACAAATAGTTCTGTCTGTCGATAGCCGTTTCAACACAAATCTGCTCTATTCTATCCTAAAAGTTGACCGTGTTGATATACGTTGTAAAAAGCATGCCCTAGTACTAATCTTTAAACTAGTACACAATTTGCTTCCTAAATCATTATGCGAACGCATTTCCCTAAAAGAATACACCCACGGCCTCAGGAATTCTGTTAACATACTGGTACTCACTTCAGAAAATCCCAAAACCAATTTTAAACGAAAGGGATTTATCTACCGGTACTCAAGTGTCTAATTATTCAATGCCTTACCTGAAAGAATTTGTCTCTTGTCAACTACCCGACAATTTGAACTGGAGGTAGATGCATTGTACTAGTCCGTCACTCTCACCCTCTTCTTCTTCTATCTTTCTTTTCTCACATTCTCTCTTTCTTTGTTCTTTTCTCATCCCTCTTCTTCTTTTATCTCTATTTGTTCACATTCTCTCTTTCTTTGTTCTCTTCTCATCCTATCCCATTCTACTCTTCCCCTATTTATTAAAATGACACTTTTTTAATGACACATATTATCTGTCTCTGTAATTTCATTTAATATGTAAGCTTCTTACTTCATTTTGTTCTTCCTAATATATTCATATTAGACCTTTTATATCATATATCTTTATGCTTGTTATTTTATTTGATGCAATAGTTTGTTATTTAATTTTTTTATTTGATGCATGTATGTCATCTTTAAGTAGTTTTCCTATGTATTTACTGAAATATATGTAATTGAGATCTGTTTTATGCTTTTTACACGAACTTGCTGAAAAGCAGTCTTTTTAGACTGATGTGAGTTTACCGTGAATAAATGAATTCAATTCAATTCAATGTCCCTTTTGCAGCCAACATCAAATTCTGTACAACTTTGCAGGAATAACGAATATGTCATGTATGTCCTATCTGTGAAATTTAAACGTTAGCAGTGTCCTAATATTCAAATTATGCAAGGAAACCTGTTTACTTGCTAGAATTCAATGTCAAACACTATTGAGTGACTGACTGGCTTTTTTTCTTCTTTGATAATTAACATCAATAAAAATGAGCTGTAAAGGGTACATGAGCATTTGTCTACATCAATAACCCACTTCTTGAAAGGGCCAAAATTAAACTGATTGAATCTTTGCACAGCATTAAACGTACGACCATTCGGTACAATCACTTACTGGCTCTATAGCTCTTAAGTTGATTCGACAACTAATAGTTGTTATTTTCCCACTTAAAGACATTTCAAGCCCCCCTTTTTTTAGGGAAGTTCTAATTTAGTATAATCTTTCAAATGCTGTTGTAATTTAACCTTTTCATTTTGGGGGACTGCAAATTGGACATAGTATCTTTAAGTCAGTTGTTAATTACCATATTCATGAATACCTATTAATTAGCATATGAATAAAATGCCATGTGCTTCAAAAACCATGTGCAATATTTTCGGTTGTTGAGGCTAAAAACAAGCAAAATTATTAATAAATAGAGAATTAAAATCATATTTCCTGTTTTTTACAAATTTACCAGACGCCCATCTTATTTACTGGATGGTATTTACCAGTATTTACCACCGGTAAGACCTAAAATAAAAATTTGTTGGATTGCCCTTTGCAACAAACCCCAAAATCTGAAAATCTACGGTCAGCATTTTAAAAAAGTTTATTTTTTAAACCGTTTTTTAGATTTTTTAACAATTATTGAATAAAATAACATGTATTTTGTTTGTTTAATTGGGATATAAATGCATAAAATCAAATTATTCCAAAATTCTCACTCGTACAAACCATGGATAATTATGAGATGAATAAGATGTCAATGGAATGATGAAGATGTATTAAAGCACCAAAATAAATGAGAAATATCAGCCAAAAGAGGGTAGGGAAAAAGAAGAAAAAACAACAATAACATTCAAATCTGAAAAATATAGGCCCAAACGGAGGGTGACAAAAAAAAAGTTTAAAAAAACAAAAACTTTTCCGACTGACTGACCGACCGACCCATGTTTTGGCAACCAAAGGCCAATACAACAAGTTTTTATTTTAGGCCTAATTACCGCCACTGGTATTTATCGCCCAACCCTGTCCTGATCAGACCTCATTGCTAAAGATAATGATAACTACTGCGATAAATTGCTCCCAAATCGTTCTGTTATGAAAGTGGAAAATGTATTTGAAATTTGTTGCAGATGTAGGTCAGACATTGACGATATATGCTAATGAGCCTGCCTCGACTATTTTATCCTGCTATTGGGATTGCTCGGCCAATGATTTTTTTTGGAGCAAGCAGAAACGATAACATCTGTAACCCAATAATTGCACATCTTTGAAGTGATGCAGTGACAACAGTGTTTGACTGACACAACTAAAAAAAAATTTCTGTGAAAATTGGGGAGGTCTTACCACTAAATACATCTTGCAATATGCACATGCTTTATCGTTTATTCGTTATCGGTGTGGTCTGACCAGGCCTTAAAAAATCTCATTGTATTAGAGATTAAACCTACCTTCTGATGTAGGATGTTCAGATTCCTTGTCTCCATCAGTACTTGACACAGGATTATGGGTTGTACTATCCACTTCATGATTGATTTTACCTGAAATAAATCATTGACGGATTATTTAAAACCAGTCATTCTTCAATGTCAGTGCAGTCCTTTGATCTGTTTGATCTGCCTTTGTTTGAAGTACGTGTACAGGGATAAAGCTACAGTCCCATATACGTCCCGGACTGTCCCGGACCATCCCGGACCCCATCCGGGTAGATCCGGGATTCGGTCCGTGTTGACACCGTGTTGGCACCGGGATGGTCCTGGATGGTCCTGGTTGGTCCTGGATGGTCCTGGATGGTCCTGGGCGGTCCGGGAGTCGACCCCGGATGTTTTTGACGGTCAAAAACTGCCGGGGTGGTCCGGGACGGTCCGGGACAATAGTTTGATCCGGGGTGATCCGTGTAGCCACCGTGCTGGGTCAGGGGTCATCCGTAGTGGCGCCGGGGCGGTCCGTGTTGATCCGTGGCAGTCCGGGAGTGAGTTATTGACCGCCCAGGACCATCCAGGACCATCCAGGACCATCCAGGACCACCCCGGTGCCAACACGGTGTCAACACGGACCGAATCCCGGATCACCCCGGATGGGGTCCGGGATGGTCCGGGACGGTCCGGGACGTATATGGGACTGTAGCTTAAAAGTATCACACTTTTTTTAACAAAACATCCCGGACCATCCCGGATCACCCCAGACCATGGTCCGGGATGGTCCGGAGTGGTCCGTGCTCGTCCGTGCTGGTCCGGCTTTATATGGGACTGGGGCTTTAGATCACAGGGATAAGGCCACATTCATTGGTCCATTTTCTACACTTAAAAATACAGCAGTCATACCCTGTAAATTTTTGTAAATATGTTCACTTATTATAACTTGCATATTTGTTTGTAAATTGTAGTTTCATTGTTTAATATTCTGTTATTATATGTAATAACGGCCTCGCTGAAAAACAGCTATTGTTGAATGCGGGCTCAATTGTATTATGTTTTTAACCGTAAATAAATGAAATATACCATACCATACCCTCAATGGAAAAGAATTAGTAAGTTTGAAATTTCTGTTGAGGCGATTTATTACCGGTAGGTATCTTTAGTATTCTTCATTCTGATGACCAGCAATGCACAATCACTTTGTGTTTAATAGCTGATACTGTAGATACTGTATACCACTTAAATGTCAAGAGTCTAGAGACTGCTAGAAGATTTGTGTTGGAAACCCAGGACAAGTGAATATGAATTATTCACATTGACTGTATCTTGATACCGGTACATATCATCAGGTAAATTCCCATCATTTTTAGCATCACTTGACAGATTGCTTCAAAATAGCCCAAGGGGCCTTGCACGGTCATGTCCTACAAATGACGGACAAATGGTATTGTGGTTTGTAGAGTCTGAAGTACCTTGCGCACTAGGTAATGTGCGAGCCATTTATCACGCGAGCCGCAGAGCCATGCCCTCGCCATGATTCACGCTACTTCATTCATCAAGCATTTTACAGCGTTTTACACGATCCCACATCTTCACCTCAGCCATTCATATTGTACGAAGGTGCGGCATGAATTCGTTAAACATTCATAGCGCTGTGTCCATTGACGTGGGGGCAAGCTAGCTGAGCGTGGCGTGACATGCATAGACATGAACATGATTACATATGGCTTTATCAAAATGATTACCGTAAACGAGACCACCCATATAAAGTTAACAATTAAACGTTTAACAAAAGAAACCTCAATGACTCAGGCATACTTTGTACACAGGTTTCACTGCAATATCAATTCAAGTAATACCTTCTAGACTTGATGGAACACCTTCCTCTTCACTTTCTCCTGTAGGTTCTTGCTTGATGTTGATTTTGAGGGGTAACTGATCGATTTTCTCTCCAACGGTTGAAAAGGCCTCTGCTTCTTCCTTGATGAGAACTTCTATGACTGATGGAATGAATTCATTCATGGGTGACAGGTAATGAATGACATTGCTATCAACCTCTTGCTTGATGAGAACTCCTTCAACAAATTGAATAGTTTCTGTTGAGCTCCTATTTGGAGATTGTGAAGTATGTAAGGTCCAACTCTCTGCTTTTTGCATACTGTGTTCTGGGACTGATGGGGCAGTTTCATCTCTGGAGGTTTTACTTTCCATTTCTTGTTTGTTAGTATGTCCTAGGGTTGTTTCTATGCACATATCTGTAGAATGCAGTGAACTCAAGGTCCTGCTCTGAACTTCTTGCTTGACATTATCTTCTGGGACTGACTGAACACCTTCTGCTGCACTCCTAGTCGTTGTTCTGAGAGGATTTGATGCCCCTCTCTCTGCTACTTGCTTGATCATATCTTCTGGGACTGACTGAACACCTTCTGCTGCACTCCTATCCATTGTTCTGAGAGGATTTGATGCCCCTCTCTCTGCTACTTGCTTGATCATATCTTCTGGGACTAAATGGACACTTTCTGCTACACTTCTATATGTGGGTTGGTAATGATCAAGTGTCCCTCTCTCCATTTCTTGCTTGACTTCTAGGAATGACTGAACAGTCTCTGCTGCCATCAGATCTGCAGGCTGCACTGAATTCAAAGTCCTCACATCTGCTTCTTACTTTAAGCCTACATTCCCTGAAAAAAGCGAGAAAACAAAGGTGTTTTAAAGCATATTCTTGCAAATGGAGATAATTAAGCAAAGCTTTCTTGTGAGAAATCAATCATACTCTGAACACTACCAATATATTGAAAATGTATAGTAGTAGAACATAGTGGAAGAAGTAGTAGAAGTAGTAGTAGTAATAGTAGTAGCAGTAGTAGTAGAAGTAGTAGTAGTAGTAGTAGTAGTAGTCCAATTAGTTGTAGGAATAGTAGTGGTAGTGTTTTACACAGGTACAAAACAACAACAACAAAGTTTCGATTTATGCCCCTCCACCTGGCGCTATGCCTGGCAATGTATCCCAGCTCAGTAATCTGTGTGTTGACTTACCACTCGGAAACTAGAACAACACTTAAATTTGTAATCTTGATTGAAAGTAATTTTTCTAATAGATCTCAATATGTAGTTTATAATAATAATTCCTCCAATTTTTCTTCTATTACACACGGCATAACACAAGGTTTTATCCTAGGTCCTCTACTGTTTTTAATTTATATTAATGATCTTACACATTCTTCTGAAAACGACATTGTTACTATTATTTGTGACAAGTTCAATAGCACAAATCAGCGCCTTCAACTGCACCTCGCAGTTAAATAAAAGTCCTTTCCCGCGGACTTGGCTTGACGCCGGGTCGGCAGTAATAGTAGTAGTAATAGTGGTAGTAGTAGTAGTAGTAGTAGTGTTTTAAAACGGCATTAAAGCGAATACATAAAGAATCAGAAAAAGACAATAAACATGTAAAGATGAAGATAATGCAACCACTGGAATGCCAGGGACAGATTAGGTTATCCTACATAGTTATGTAATAACTGTGGCACAAAGTCTTCTGTCCCAGTTTCAGTGGATGTTAACATAAAATGATGATAAAATACATAAAATACACAACATACATAAAGTTGGATGTCCTGACTTTTTACAAGAACATGTAATATAAAACTCCAATATCACATCATCCACAATTCCACATACTGTAGGTTGGATTCGAACCCAAAAATCTTTGGTTTAAAGGGATAGTTGAGTTCTGTTTTCAGACCGAAAATGCCTTCAAACTCAAAGTGCATGATTATTGCTTTTATTCCTATCTATGACATTTCTAGTGCCCTTTTAGAACCTAAAATTGCTATGAAGGTAATTTTAGACCCCAAAACGCTCATACCAATTCAGCTCCACTTTCAAAAATATACGGTGATCGTTAATTTATTATTTAATTAAAAACAATAATACATGAGCCAGCTGGTGGTGCGTAATATAACCAACACGAACATGTCAACAAAAAAGCCAACATCGGCATTGGCTGAAATACAACGTAAAAGGCGCTATTTTTCAACGGCTTTTTCAAACTTTCTAATATTTGTGGTGGTACACAAGTATTACAAATTGTTATATTTATGGATATTTCAGCCGTCTCTGAACCGATTTTGACATTTAAATTGTATGTTCTTTCAAATTTGAAAGGGTTTGCCACGGTTCTCACGGCAGGCCAGGGTGTATGGAAGCTATTTTGTCACGTTTAATCACGGCGCATCCCGGCGTCTGACGGTTTACGGGTGCGGCACGTTGCGTTCTGACACGGCGCACGCGGTCGGGAGGTAGTATATAAAAGACGGGCGCAGCGGGAGCTTCATTCGAGTCTGAGCAATCAACGACACATTAATGCATCTACAATAGGAAGAAAGGTCAAGCTATGCCACCGAAGAAGCCAAGACGTTCGAAGGCCCTCTGTCCTGCACCATCACCACCACCACCACCACCAGGATACAATGATGGCTAATGCTTGGGAGGCCTTCTGTTTATACCGTGGGAACAATCGTGCTCCATGCAAAGCTGCCCAGCGTCCACGTTTCATCCGTAGAAAGCCTTGACAGAACGTGAAAAACTTGTCAGAACTTGAGAATCGTGAGGGACCCCATCAGAACGTGACGGGCCGGGAGGGAACGTTCTGGCACCCGTGGTAGAACCCGGGCCGAACGGTAGTTCGCCTTGGACCCTCCGGGACTCAGCATCCCCTTCCCCCCACGGCCCGTCACGGATACCGTGGTAGACCGTGAGAAAACTTGGAAAGACCTAACAAAACTTGAATAGACTACAGAGATAAAATTGGTCTAAATCCCACGGCGCACTACGTTTCGGGTAAACGGGGCTGCCGTGGCCGCCGGGAACATAGTGTAAACGTAGCATTAGTTTTAAAAAATACTTTATTTTAAACCTTGTTTTATTATAAATAAATTAGTAATTAAAAAGTTAGATTTTGGTATTGGCCTCCCTACTCATGATCTTTATGTGGACATTTAATAAAATTTAATTCATTTTTGGTAGGTTTTAGTTAGGGAGGCCAATGCCCGGGCGTAAGGCTTCTACACCTACGATTTGTGCGCTCGTCGTCCACTTTAAAAAATTAGCAGGGAGAAAAAAATGAAAAGAAAATACAATTATACATTTCACAACATACCTATAATCACGGATCTGTAACGGTCTTTCACGAATTGTTGACGATCTTGCAGATTTTGACGTATTTAAATCCAATAATTGTGGTAGCAGAAGAACATGACGCGCACGCACCACCGACTAAGAAAATCCTAGAGGGCGCAGAGGTTTGCTCACTAAAAACCTTCTCATTGGCAGAAGGTAGACCCTAAAATTATGGGATCCGTTTTGAGTAAAGAACTTTTGATAGAGATCAACATTTCAGATGTTCACAAATGCCACTTCTAACAACTAGAAAATATAAAGAAAAAAGATTATATCTTTTTAAATACAGATTTTTACAACCTGAACATTCGAAGGTAGATAGAGTAAGATGTTTCTGTCAATCTTGCGTTGGTTTGAGCCCTATAGCTACATCCATCTTAAAATGAAAAGGAAAACTGTGAACAGTGACATCACTGTTCGCGCCAAAAATAAAGGGTATTGCGACATACAGTGTATGTCTGAGCTCCGGTCAGATCGTGCGCCAAGCGTAGTCTTACTTATAGACCCTAGTACCTTATTCTCACAGCACTAGATACGAGTGTCGTGCAGTAATGTATGAGAAGTGTTAAAAAAGATATTTCAGTAAAAAAAAAAAGTATGAGCAGTCTATACTCCAATTGAGAATTGTGTTAATAGTGTATGATACATGGTTAGTGAGTGTTACGTATAGCGAGAGAGAGAGTGAGAGAAATAATATAGTACACGTATGTCTGCGTACGTACCTTGCATGCATGCTGCGCTGCAGTCGATTGTTGATTCCGTATTGTGTTCGCTGCAAGATAGATGTTAATTGGACCTCGTAACTTCTCGATCGTTGATAATGCAGTGTCAGATTGATCTTTACTCATGTCGTCATGAGGAATTACTATTGGATTTGGAATACCACTCAAAACCACTCTACAATCACGTAGATCTACGTTGATTCGTTTTCTCTCTGTCCATGTTTTGTCCCTCCATGACTCGATTTCAGGACTGCGGCTTGCAATGCTATTACCTGTGTCGGTGTATGCGACCGATTCAAGGCTAGCCGCCGATGATGAATGTATATAGGCCTACTTTCACGCGAAGTTTTTATCTTGTTGTCCGGGCAATGACACGCCTATCCCCTCGGGCCTGTCATTGCCTAACTGTCTAATTATGAACGTAATTTTGCGACATGCAATATAGTCTAGTCTAATAGTTTCAAGGCTCTTACTAGGGAGGCCAATGCCCGGGCGTAAGGCTTCTACGCCTACGATTTGTGCGCTCGTCGTCCAAGTCAGAAAATTACCAGAAGAAAAAAAAAGGGGGAAAAAAGAAAACAAATATCTATGGAATAAAATGTATAACAAATACACAATTACACACTACACAACATACCTATAATCACGGATCTGTAACGGTCTTTCACCATTTATTGACGATCTTGCAGATTTTGACGTATTTTGATCCAATAATTGGGCTAGCAGACGAAAATAACGGACGCACAAGAGAAACTAGAGGGCGATGAGGTTAGCTCACTAAAATCCTTCTCAATGACTGAAGGTAGAGCCTTAAAATATGGAACCAATTTAACATCAAAGAACTTTTGATAGAGATTAACATATCAGATGTGCACAAATGTCACTTTTAACAACTAGAAAATATAACGAAAAAAGATTATATCTTTTTAATTGCAGATTTTTACAAACTGCACATTCGAAGGTAGATAGAGTACGATGTTTTTGTCAAGCTTGCGTTGGTTTGAGCCCCATAGCTAGAGCCATCTCAAATTGAGAAGGAAAATTGTGAACAGAGACCTCATTGTTTCAGCCCCAAATAGAAGTCTTGCGACATCATAATATGAATATTTATGAGCTCCGGTCTCATCGCGCGTAAAACAAATTTGACGTAGTCTCACACATAGTACCTTTTTCTCAGCACTAGACACCAGTGTCGTGCAGTAATGTATGAGAAGTGAAAAAAAAGACATTTCAGTAAAAAAAAAAAAGTCTACGTGAGCAGTCTTTACTCCAATTGAGAAGTGTAATGAATGCCATGATTATGAAGGAAAAACTGTGATAACGCCATTACGAACGTGTAGATGGCGCACAGTTTTTCCTTCATAATCATTTTGCCTTCGGCGTAGACTAGAAGGGATGAGATTGATTTAGATGACTCCGGCAGCGGGAGTTTAACACGGCTTGCAAGATTTTCAACATGGATGTCGATTTTGACCCATAATTTCCTTAAAAGGGACCATTAAACGGATTATTTCAATCGAGTTAGTAAGTGGAACCGATGTATTATAGCCTAGGCCTAATTTACAATTGGATATGGACGAGGTAAAATGACATTTTGGGGGATTTTGGGGGCATAACCCTACGACCTGAAATGGCCATGGCGTTATCAAGGGAATGTGTATAGACGGTTTCCGTCTCTAAAGAGAGAGCCGGCCGACCCTAACCCAATAAGAGGCTAACGAACGAAAGAGACGGAAAATTTGGTCTATGTCGGTGTGTGCGACTAATTCAAGGCTAGCCGGTGATGATGAATGTACCTTCGCGCAAAGTTTTGAACTTGTCGTCCGGGCAATGACCATGATGACACGCCCATTCCCTCGGGCCTGTCTAATTCTCAACGTAATTGAAATTGATTGTTTCAAGGCTCTTACGTACGGCCAGGCGTAGAAGGAACCTCATAGGAACTAGCTGGATATCTCCTATTTTATGGAACTTCTGGAGTCGGCAGATGGGTGAGTTTTCTTAGTGAAAGAAAATGCTTTCTTTTAATGTTTGTTTTATTATAAACAAATTAGTAATTAAAAAGTTAGATTTGGGCATTGGCCTCCCTACTCTTAGTCTTACGTATGAAGGGGTGACCAAAGTTCGCGGATATTTTTCTTTTCTTGCATATTTCAAAAAATCCAGATCAACATATATCATGTTCCATACGTCATAAGATTCGTAATTTATCATATAATCAGATTATATAACATTCCAAGGCTTTATTTACTTCAAATCAATGATAAGACGAGAATATCGGAAGCCTTACCACTACCGACGTCCGTCAAAAAGTGTGACCTAAGTTTGCGCATGTCATTTACTGCCCTCTTGTGATGGGCTTTATATATGTAAACATTCCAAAAAGTTACGTAGTTTCAATCAGAAGCCGAACTTTATATTGAAACTTTGAAAAATATAATAATTTCTCTCTATCATTGAAATATTGCCCGATAAAAATACCCTTGTTAAATTTTGCAAATAAAAGACAATATTTTTCAATGTTTATGTGTTAATGTCAATGTAGTCCCTATCTGCATGTCATTTGTTTGTTTGAAAAAATTATCATGTGTCTCCATTTTATATGTCAGCCATACACGAGTTCTCGCTCTTTTCTCTCTTTGTCTCTCCTCTTTCCCCTTTTAAATTTGTATTCTTACGAACCATAGATTCATTGAAATTCACAAACACAGATACGGTGGAAGCAGGCGCGCAGGTTCCGTTTTTCGCGTAAGAAATTGGAATTTTATCATTATTTTTCGGAGTCGAGAGTAGAGTCTCCGGTGTGCGGCATCGCCCGGTTTGCGGCCAGGGGTATTTGTTTTAAAAATAAAATGAATATGACTCGATAATAATCATTGAAACCTACCGCGGATTCCACGGTAAGTTCTGCTTTGCCGAAAACGTCCGTAGCAGGTGCTCCTGTCGGTACGGAGTATCCGTCAGCGATGTCGGAAATCTACGGCACCAGTCGCCGATGAAAATTCCAGCAGGAGCTAACTTTTAAGTTAAGAGATCGAGGCATGACTAGATCAATATTGTAGCTCTATTTGTCCGATATTTGTCCGATTGGAGGTGAAATTTGATGTTTTTGTGGAAGTATGATGGCTGTGGTCTGTCTCCTATCGCAGATATTTTGATTGTGCCACCGCATGGCCAGTTGCATGGGGTGGCCGCAAACCGGCACGTAATTACGTGTTTTTTCTGGTTTGCGGCGGGGGGTGTTAATACACACATAACATGCGGGATCGTGTATGATGGTATGTGTGCTGATGTGTGTACCCGCTATGACCCGATAGTTTCTAGTAGTACTTACCCCCGGATGGGATGATCCATTCGAGGAAAAGGTGAAATTGTTTAAAACTTGACAAATTTACCGTAGCAACAGATAAACATGAGAATTTGGGTTACCCGTAGTAATTTGGTACATGCTTTCATCGTGACGTAGCGCATAAAGCTTTGTGACGTACGCGTGCCGCAAACCGGTAATGCGTGCCCGCAAACCGGGGAACTCAAAGCATTTCGAAACGTGGTCAATGCTGACCACGCTGTGGGTCAGTTAGGTTATTTGTGACTTCTATTGAGTAAAGGAGCCCGTTTTCGGCCACTTAAGACAAAAATCCTATTTTTAGGACTCTTTACTTCCTATTTATTATCATTTCTTGTTCAAATCACGAAGCAAATATTATTATTATTTAAACAAAAAATTGAATCCCAGAAAAAAATCACGAATTGCCATGACAATATTCATTTCAATTTTCACTGTTTTGGAGCCCGTTATCGGCCGAGCGTTTCAGTTTACGGCCGCATGTACAAAGTCAATAGGAAGCGCTCGCGCGCGCCGTGCGTTTCCGCGCTGATGTACAGCACAAGCGGGCGGAGCAGGTATCCCACGCCGGAGCTCCCTGGTGCTCGCCTGGCCGAAGACGGGCACAGCGGTGATCGGAAGTTGGAATCTGAATTAGACAGAGATATCGTGTGTGCGTCGCGGTGTGCGGCTGCATTGATTTAATACATGCGATGAGATACTTTTGAGCTTGCGACCAGCACAAAATCGGGCTTTGAATCTGAAAAATACTTGAAATAAAGCTCATTTTATGGTACCCATATTTCTTACAGACACGCGTAAGATACTCGATTTTTCAGATTTGGGTAGCGGGACCGGCGATTACATCGCTAAAATGTGATATTTTAGGATATATTTTCCATTGCAAATGTGGTTCTTCAGTGACACTGGCATGGTATGGTATGTGTGGGATATGTGTTATGCTATTATGCGATGTATTTTAGAGTGATTTTACCTTGCATCCAACCAATCGGCCGAAAACGGGAGCTGGCCGATTACGGGCTCCTTTACTCTATATGGACTCTTTATTGAGGGTATTGAAGTATTCTGTGAGTATTCCAATAAAAATAGAATCGGCAGTTCCCGCCGATCGGCCGCAGACCGGAGCCACTACTCGATCCCTCTAATAAACTGATTTTCATGTAAAAAAAAACACAATTTGTTATGATAAAAAGCGTGAAAAAGCTAGCTTATTCACATTTTTATGCCGCATTTTGACCTTTGGAGTTGTCGACGGTGCTCAAAGATTTCGTTGTCTCAGTCCCACACAGGCATCGCGTATCGTTCTCCTGTTATAAGCGCTTTTAGTGTTAGTACGCGAACTTTGGTCACGCGCGAACTTTGGTCACACCACCATACCTCTTAGCCTTAAGGGCTCTCTCGAAATGTTTTTTTAATGATATTATTCGAGAGAGCCTTAAACGGCTCCCATACCCCTGCACGGAGAGGCATGTAAACAAAACTCAAAAGTGGTCCAAAATCACACTTTCGCGCACCCGACCAATATTGGACAGTGGCTTTGATAAATTTTGTCCGAGTTTTGGTCTTAATTAGTGCTTTAATTTCAAAATCGGATCTAAAAATAACAAAATAAGAGCAATTTTCTTACCAGACCGATACAGCTCAGCTCCCTTTTCACGTGTACCGTGTGAATTCACGATGTCTACACAATGGTGATGACCTCTGACTAGCACTTCGTAAATGTGCTGCTTCCGTATAATGCGCTGAATAACACTCATACAGCGCATTATACGGAAGCAGCACAATTTACCCACAATTACGGAAGTGCCAGTCAGAGGTCATCACCATTGTGTAGACATCGTGAATTCACACGGTACACGTGAAAAGGGAGCTGAGCTGTATCGGTCTGGTAAGAAAATTGCTCTTATTTTGTTATTTTTAGATCCGATTTTGAAATTAAAGCGCTAATTAAGACCAAAACTCGGACAAAATTTATCAAAGCCACTGTCCAATATTGGTCGGGTGCGCGAAAGTGTGATTTTGGACCACTTTTGAGTTTTGTTTACATGCCTCTCCGTGCAGGGGTATGGGAGCCGTTTAAGGCTCTCTCGAATAATATCATTAAAAAAACATTTCGAGAGAGCCCTTAAGGCTAATACCTCTAACGTTAGAAGGAAGGGCCTACTTATTATAGCTGGATATCTCCTATTTTTATATGGAACTTCTGGAGTCGGCAGATATGGGTGATTTGTCTTAGTGCAAGAAAATACTTGCTATTAAACTTTGTTTTATTATAATTAGATTAGTAATTAAAAAGTTAGATTTGGGTAGTGGCCTCCTAGTTTAGTAGTATCTCCACGCCGGAGTTACGGGTCACATTATGGATAGGTTTCTGAACAGGCGTCATCCACTCCAACTCCAGCAAAGCATATCTAGACTATAGACCCTAGGCTATACCGGTATGCGTTATTTTTTTATGCGGCACAGATTGGGGCTTTTTTTTAAAAGGGGTCTTGATTTACAGACTAATAGTGGTCGTGTGCGTACTAGTAGTAGAGGTCTGTTTTTAATAGTGTTACATGTAATCAACTACCGTATGAAAAATCATTACATCAACAATTAAAATGCAATTGGAAATCTGAAGAGGAGGCAGCACGTCAATAAGAAGAACATCACAATAATTAGTCAATAAAACTTAATAAACTTAAACGAAGAGGAATGTTATCTAAACACATAGTTCGCGATGGATATTCAAACTTCTTCGCAGCGCTAATGCGCTAGCGAACATGCCTAGTCTCACGTACGTGCAGACATTATTCAGAAGGGAAAGAACGTACTTCCCATAGGCTCAACACGCACCATGCCCCAATCTGTGCCGCATAAAAAAATAACGCTACCGGCGTACATGGTATAGATCTAGATCATTGCTAATTTACTCCACCTCCAGGGAGCTCCGACGCGACGCCGAGTTACATAGAATCTATGTCTACTTACGTTCATTCTTGGGCTTAATATGGAAGAAATTGCAGTTGCCATCAACTTCTTTGACAAATTAATTTGGGAACATTTGAATGCGATCTCCTCTCAGGTTGTTCACGGATCCGAGATAATATTTATCGCTCCTTGAAAACTGGCGACCATTAAGCCCACGACCAATGAGAGGAGGATAACCACCAATAATGGGTCCTATAGTGTCTCTAAATCGTACAATCGAAAAGGAAAAGGAGAACTTTGCACGTCTAGGCTGACGGTATAACAACAATAGGAAAACTAATCTCTTACTAGTAAGAGATTGTATTTGCATGTTTTTAAAATGATCTCATGACATTTTAACTAAATGATACGAAATCGCATGGGGTGAAATAAGAAAAACGATGGAGCGACCAATTCAAGCGGGGGTATGTCTGGGAGGAAGCATCAGTTGCTATTTTAAAACCACATTAGGCCCATTTTCAGGCACTTCCTGGTGAAATATGACGTGAAATTGATTTCCTCTACCCCTTCCAAGAGTAGGGATCTTTTGCAATTTGAGAACCACATTTGGCGCATTAATGTCAACTGGCACTTCCTGGAACTAAGCAAGGCTTTCTCATTGGTTAGAAGTTAGAGAAAAGTGATCTGTCACCCGTCGCAACTCGGACGTTGTATATACTTCGTTGCTGCACATTATTCACAAAGACGGTGGTCTGGTATACGTTTTCCCCTCTCTAGTTGCTGTAAATTAGCATTGTTTAATGATTGGAGAGGAAAAGGGGACACTTATCGAAATGAATAAGACAATTAACAAAAAGAAAAGGAGCACGTTGTGTCACATGTCATATTGCTCCCTCTATCCTCTCTTCCTGTATCTCTCTCTCTAACCCACCACTTCTCCCCCCCCCCCCCCCATATGCGTGTTCCCTCCTTTTGAAAAGTCCGGCATATGGCTCCGTTTAGTCTCATTTCACAACGCCCCCTATCGTCAGAGCTTGGTCAGAGTCAGCAGCCTAACATGTTAGCCTATGGACGTTTTTTTTTTAAATCGTTAAAAATTCATTTTTTGTTTAAACGAAAAGCACATCCACCCCGACGTACGTTATCACTAGCTCTTACATTGGAGCCCTCATGTCTCATTGACTTTTGAAAGTTCACCCACCGTAATTTTTCAAAATAGGTTGCAAGCTCGTCATTGCCTATAATACAGATGTGAAACAAGTCTAACTTTGGACTCAGTTTGCCAAGCGATTTGAAGATTATAGGTCGAGCACACGAAACATAAAAAGCATGAATTATCATAGCTATTTCATTATGTCCATTTCATCCAACCCCCCACCGTAATTTTTCAATTTAGTAAAAGCAAACATTTAGCCGAGGTAAGCAAAAACATGAATATTCTTGACACACCATGGACTATTCGGTTATTAACAGAGGGGTGCAATCGGTCATCACGTCAAACTCCCCTAATTGCCACCAAGTATTTCATATAATTATATAGTTTGGTATGTTTCTTTTACTCACTCATGAATTATTAAATATCAATGATTGTTTAAAGAAATGTAAAAGAAATTTTAGTTGATATTTATTAACAAAGTAATTTATATTGTTTAAAGAAATGTAAAAGAAATTTTAGTTGATATTTATTAACAAAGTAATTTATATTTAGCAAAGCAATCTCACATACATATTTACTATCAAGTGTCGTCTGCTACGCCGATTGTCGCCTGCTTTGTTAAAGGCACATATTTATCGTTTGGACTGTAAGGTATACCAGGGAGATTTGTATTTTCCTGCAGTACAACGTATAGCAGGAAAATGTTGTATATGCGGATCCTTTTAATGATTACGTAATGGAAGTGGCGAGGCGGTATAGTTTGAATAACTTAGGCAGATGAAAGTTATTGTATTGAGATTCAGAAGGAAAGGAATGTTCAGAAAGGCATAGAGAGGGAAGTGGGCGTGGTAGCCATTCTAGCATTGCATCTACACCCGACGCGACGGCGCGGTGGCCTGTACTTATAGCGCGCGAACACATCACACCCAATGGCATACACCCGGTACCCTGCAACACAGTGGAACATTCTAAGAAATTTAAAAATTATCTACAAAATGGACCTCTTGAATCATCTGAGAAGTAACTTGCTCTATTCTGATGACTTCAATGAATGTCAAGATAACAATGGCTGCTTTTCCATCCAAAAATAAAACTAGTTTGAAATTAGAAATAGTCAATTTCTCGATAATTTCACAAAATATATTTGCCGCCGCATTCAATATGACGTCATTGACAGCTGATTGGCTAGTTTGGTACGACGTCGAACGAGCTATAATTATGTTTGTGCTGCAGTGATCGAGCGAGTGAAAATGAGACAATCGGAGCAATGTGTAAAACGGGCTTTTGTGTACTACGAGCCGGACTTTGGTGCGTGAAAAGTACCCCTTAATTTACCGGACATTTTGGCAACAATTATGGTATCCGGCCCTCCGATCCCCGGAGTGGGAGGGGGGGGGCACTTTTTCTCTCTCACGTCCCAAGACGAAAATCCAATTGAAACCAATTGAACACCAATTGAAATTTTAATTGGTTTCAATTGGTTTCAATTGGTCTCAATAGGTTTTAACAGGTTTCAATGGGACTTCAGATGTTTTCAATTGGTCCAGATTGGCCCCATTGGACAAATTGGCCCCATTGGCCCCATTGGCCTAGGCCCCATTAGACTTTAATGGGTCCCCAATTGGTTTCAATTGGTCCGGATTGGCCCCATTGGACAAATTGGCCCCATTGGCCTAGGCCCCATTAGACTTTAATGGGTCCCCAATTGGTTTCAATTGGTCCGGATTGGCCCCTTTGGACAAATTTGACCCATTGGCCTAGACCCCATTAGACTTTAATGGGTCCCCAATTGGTTTCAATTGGACCAATTGGCCTTAATTTGGACTTCAATTGGTCCCATTGAAACCAATTGAAATTCCATTAAAGTCTAATAGGGCCAATTGAAATCAATAGAAACCAATAGGACCAATGCTAAATAGAAACCAAATGGACCAATAGAAACCATTAGGACCAATAAGACCAATAAAAAACAATAGGACCAATAGAAACCAACAGAAACCAACAAATCTAGGCATCTCATGAATATTCATTATCACTTTACACGTGTCACAGAAAAATAAATTTATCATGATTTGTTAAGCAAATTATGACAATGTACATCAATTTTGTGATTTCTTTATTCCTTCAGCAATTATTAACCAATAGATTATTTTGTCTGATCATGTTACAATTACATTCACGTTTTAGCAATAGATATATTGATTACTATAACCAAGAAACATGATTACTAACAAAGAAACAATATACATATTTAGTATATATACTTGTACGAGCCAATGACACTGTAAATTTAACTTTTGAATTCACTTCAAATGATCTCTGTGATGAAGTTAATGCAAATGAGATTGGAATATACCTTGGTGGACAGTTGCCAATATCGATTATGAAGTATCAATAATTTATCACTGGTTCTTCTAACTGGATCGATTTACCAATTGAATCCCCATTGAATGCCCCCATTGAATCCCAATTCAATACCAATTGGCAATTAATTTGGAGTACATGGAAAGTGAAACAATGGGTACCCATTGAAACCAATTGGCAATCAATGGGGATTCAATTGGATTTTCATCTTGGGACTCTGTCTCTTTCCCTAAACCCCCCCCCCCCCCCCCGGCCCTCTCCCCGGCCCTCTCCCCCTCCCCCCCCCCCCCCCCCCCTGTCTCCCTCCCCTACTCTCTCTAACCCACCCTCGATCCCTCTCTCGACAGCTCGACCCCTCTGTCTTCCTAACCTACACCCGTCTCTCCCCCTCACACAATCTGTCTCTTTCCTTCAAGGGGCACGTTCCCGCCAGTGTAGTTATCGCTGCTCTAGTCATCGCCATCTTGGTTCCGAAGATCGACTTCTAATTTGTATACAGCTGTCAATCAAAGTACGCGCGTCCTGGCCTGCCTTCGCCAAGACAGCTGCCGATCGCGACGTCACGAATGTGGGCGGAAACAGCAGCCGAATCTTACAGCCGAACCGCGATTGGTATTACTTCGGCACATGTATGCGATAATCGGCATTGTGCGGGCATTCGGAACATGCCATCTGCGTAAGAGCCGTATTCTGTTGGTGTCAATATGCAGCTAGCACCGTCCGCCAGCGGGTACGTATTTTGAACGCCCTCTGGAATACCGCCGGGGAACATGCCCCTTTAAACCAACTTCTCTCTCCCCCTAACCCGTGCACCCTCTCTCTCTCTCTCTCTCTCTCTCCCTAACTCACCCTCTCTCTCGATCCCTGTCTCCAAAACCCACTCCTTTCGCGCTCTCCCTCTTTCTCCTTAACCGACCCCCCTCTCTCTCTCTCTCTCTCTCGATGCCTGTCTCTCTCTCCCTAATTAACACACTCCTTTCTCTCTCTCCCTTACCCACCCCTCTCTCTGTCTCTTTCCCTAACTCATCCCTCTCTCTCTCTCTTTCCCTAACCCCCCCCCCCTCTCTCTCTCTCTCTTTCTCTCGATCCGTCTGTCTCTCAACCCAACTCAATAACATTTGTACAAAGTATAAAAATAAAGGATATATATTTTATAAAACAGAAAAGGATTAATGAAATACTTTGTTACAAAGTTCAAGATGCATTTCTGAAGGTTTTAAGGAATCAAAATTAATAGAAAATTTACACTGACTTTCAATACGAATAATAGACCTAAACAGGATTACTTTACAGTAAAACAATCCCCAAAACATGTTTTGATCTTGACGCAAGGGGTTCCATGTGGCTAAACTCTCTTCAAATAATTATGAGCTTCCAAAATTAATATTACAACATAAATGCTTTCTCAGTGAACAGTAAAATGTCTTGTTGAGGAGACTACCAGTACTTGTTTTTTCAGGCGTGGTTTTGTTAGTTTCAGTATTTTTAATTTCTTTAAATAATTGATAATAAATATTGTATGATTCAAATAGTGTTATTTAAAACTAGATGGAATTCGACTGCGCGCAGTCGAAAATGATGCCTCCGTCATAGAGCAATTTTACAAACCGAAACGGAAGAAATTTTTCAAATTCAAGTTCAATTGTAATCCATTAACATGTTCTCAGAATATCGTGATTACAAGCAATTTCTCATAAACATATATGACCCTTTGATCTTTGACCTCATGACCCTAAAATCTACTCAGTTCATTGGCTCTGCAAGATTTCCTGAGTTAAATAGTAATCCATCTGTCAGTTCTAATGAGAATGCGTCCACAAGCTATTTTTGCATACATAATGAGCCCATGACCTTTGATCTTATGAACCATTCATTGGCTCTGCAAGATACATAAATGATCTAAGTTTGGCAGGAATCCATCAATCTGTTCTAATGATAATACGATCACAAGCTATTTTTGCATACATAATGAGCCGCATGACCTTGACCTTTACCTCATGACCCCAAAATCTAATCAGTTCATCAGCTCTGCAAGTAACATACATGACCAAAGTTTGGCAGGAATCCATCAATCGGTTGTTCAGATAACGCGATCACGAGCTGTTTTTGCATACATAATGTGCGCTGTGACCTTTGACCTCGTGACCCCAAAATCTAATCAGTTCATTGGCTTTGCAAGATACATACATGACCAAAGTTTGGCAGGAATCCATCAATCGGTTCTTCAGATAACGCGATCACAAGCTGTTTTTGCATACATAATGAGCCCTGTGACCTTTGACCTTTGACCTCGTGACCCCAAAATCTAATCAGTTCATCAGCTCTGCAAGATACATACATGACCAAAGTTTGGCAGGAATCCATCAATCGGTTGTTCAGATAACGCGATCACAAGCTGTTTTTGCATACATAATGAGCCCTGTGACCTTTGACCTTTGACCTACGTGCTCCAAAATGTAATCAGATTGTTTTCCTATAGTGATACACACTATCACTAAGTTTGAAGTTTAAATCTCCAGTGGTTCTTGAGATATCATGATAACAATCTCAATGTATGGAATTTCATAAGTTGACCTCTGTGACCCTTGACCTTTGACATACGTGCTCCAAAATCTAATCAGATCGTCTTCCTATGGTGATACATACTATCCTTAAGTTTGAAGTTTAAATCTCAAATGGTTCTTGAGATATCGCGCTAACAAACTCAATACAAGGAATTTCATAAGTTGACCTCTGTGACCTGTGACCTTTGACCTACGTACTCCAAAATCTAATCAGATCGTCTTCCTATGGTGATAAATACTATTCCCGAGTCTTAAGTTTAAATCTTAAATGGTTCTTGAGATATTGTGATAACGGTCAAACGGGACGGACGGACGTACGGACGGACAACCCGAAAACATGATGCCTCCGGCACCACCTTCGGTGGCGGAGGCATAAAAAGATATGTTTAATTCAATATTTCACATGTATGTACAATTTGTTATTATTTCATTACAGTCTATACTTATGTTTATATACTGTTATAATAACTGTATTATTCAGGGCTTCCTAGAAAAGCAGGTCCACTAGCAATCTTCCAGGGGAACTGAATAAAATTACCCTGTTGAAAAAGATCATGAAAAAGATCATGAATAAATAAATAAATATTACTTAAGGCCCCTTTGTACTACTTGTAGCTCATGTAGAAAACAATGCCTAATCGGTGACCATTGGTCCCCCATGATCCTCTTTTTCTTATGTTAATTGAGAGCTGAGTTGATAAGATAGCCACCTGTCAGTGACCACTCTGGATGGTTTAATCCCTCCTAGCCTAACTAGTACAGACAGCCTTTAAAACAGACATAGAACAATCTCATAGAATAGGACGCGCATGAAACCCAAGTACAACTTGGGTTTAGTGTGAGCCCTATATCACAGGGTTTTATGTTATCCCAGGGGTCTCAGTCATGTAGAAATAATGTAAGCATGCGTGACCACAGGTTTTTCGGACACGTACCCCCTAAACGAGGATTTCTTCTAAAATGACAATTTCACATGGTTTTTCCCCCACATTAACACCAGAGACGCCAAGTTCAAAGATCGGCAATGCGTGACATTTTAATTTTTCGGTATACAGTAGCCTTTTTTCTAAATCTAGCACGCGCGACGTGCTTGAGAGCATTTCCAGACCCTCCAATTAATGCGTGATGTCACGCCTAATGCGTGACACTTGGTAGCTCTGTAACACCCTTAACAGGTTTTACTCCAAAACAAGTATTGCAAAATTGTAACCCCTCGAGTGAGCATTTTCAAGTGCGATAGGGATTACCATTTAAGTTGTTGACAATGTAAAATAAATCAAACTGCACTTTTTATGTAAAATTCACAATATGAAAATGTATTTCAATAGAGAAGCAATAACATCAACCTGTACAGGTTTAATGCACAGCCATCAGCCCATAAGTCCTTTCTTTGAAAAAAAGAAGTACATTTCAAATTTGATCTATATATATAAATACGTACATGTAGGGTTTACAAAAAGTACACAATATACAATGAACAGCTACTATTTTACTATTCAAAACAAAATATAAATTTATAGCCCGGTAATACCTGAGGAACACATGTACAAATTTACCGGTAGGCAAGCGGCAAGTCGGAGTCGGGGTCTAGAAAAATAGCCCTAAACGTGTACAGCAGGATTTTGAAAAAATACTCTTTTTCTTCAAAATAGACATTTTAAACCCCTTAACGCGGCACCACCCCAGACCCCATGACTTATACAAGCCGATCGCCTGTCTGATTATCAAGACATTTATGATTGTAAATCAAAATTTCAAAAACTGTTTTCCTAACGTTTTTTATAGCACGACAGTCTATTGGGGTAAATGAGTATGGTAAAACCCTTCACTCAAAGATGATTACTTTTCTGAGGCACTTCTTGATCACTTAGAAGCCCAATTTTTTTAGGGCATCAATTTCACATCATATCACAGACACTGATAATGCTTAGAGCCATGCATCTCAGATTTAACATTGTTAAACAATGCCTTTAAGAACCCTTTTCAGAGAAAACCCTTTCTTACAGTGTGAACTGTGTCTTTGTACGTGCTCAATGAGATTGCATTTCTGCCTTTTCTAGCATTGGGTGCATTTATATGGATTTTCTACTGTATGTGTTACTATATATGACAATTGAGTACACTTTTCATTGAAAATGTTATCTTACAGTGTGAACATTCATATAATTTTTCTCCTCTGTGTGTAGGCATAGTGAGATGAGAATGAACTTTTCTGAGAAAATCCTTTCTTACAATAGCAACATTCATATGGCTTTTCTCCTGTGTTTGTTAGTACGTGACGATTGAGTTTACTTTTCTGAATAAATCCTTTATTACGATATCAACATTCATATGGCTTTTCTCCTGCGTGTGTTAGCATATGACGATTGAGTGCACCTTTCTGGGAAAATCCTTCCTTACAATAGCAACATTCATATGGCTTTTCTCCTGTGTGTGTCAGTATATGATTGAGTGCACTTTTCCGTGAAAATCCTCTCTTACAATAGCAACATTCATATGATTTTTGTCTTGTGTGTGTTCGTAGGTGTCTGATGAAATTACCTTTGTGAGGAAAACTTTCCTTACAGTGTGAACATTCATACGGCTTTTCTGTTGTGTGCGTTCGAAGATGACGTTTAAGATTATTTTTGTGGGAAAATCCTTTCTTACAATAGCAACATTCATATAGCTTTTCTCCTGTGTGTGTTAGGAGGTGCTGGGTGAGATAGCTTTTCTGAGAAAACCCTTTATTACAGTGTGAACATTCATATGGCTCTTCTCCTGTATGTGTTAGATGACAATTGAGTACGCTCTTCTGAGAAAATCTTTTCTTACAATGGCAACACTCATATGGCTTTTCTCCTGTGTGTGTTAGGAGGTGCTTGGTGAGATGGCTTTTCTGAGAAAACCTATTATTACAGTGTGAACATTCATATGGCTTTTGGCCTGTATGTGTTAGTAAATGACGATTGAGTTTACTTTTCTGAGAAAATCCTTTATTACGAAATCAACATTCATTTGGCTTTTCTCCTGTGTGTGTTCGTATATGACGATTGAGTGCACTTTTCTGAGAAAATCCTTTCTTACAATAGCAACATTCATGTTGCTTTTCTCCTGTGTGTGTTAGGAGGTGCTGGGCGAGACTTCTTTTCTCAGAAAATCCTTTCTTACAATAGCAACATTCATATGGCATTTCTCCTGTATATGTGTAAGTAAATGAATATCGAGTGCACTTTTCAGAGAAAATCCTTTCTTACAGTATGAACATTCATATGGCTTTTCTCCTGTATGTGTTAGTAAATGAATATTGAGTGCACTTTTCTGAGGAAACCCTCTCTTACAATAGCAACATTCATACGGCATTTCTCCTGTGTGTGTAAGTATATGACGATTGAGTGCACTTTTCTGAGAGAATCCTTTCTTACAAAAGCAACATTCATATGGCTTTTCTCCTGTGTGTGTTCGGAGATGACAGTGAAGACTAATTTTCTGAGAAAATCTTTTCTTACAGTGTGAACATTCATATGGCTTTTCTCCTGTATGTGTTAGTAGATGACATTTAAGGAGGCCCTTCTGAGAAAATCCTTTCTTACAATAGCAACATTCATATGGCTTTTCTCCTGTGTGTGTTAGGAGGTGTTGAGTGAGACTTCTTTTCTGAGAAAATCCTTTATTACAGTGTGAACATTCATATGGCTTTTCTCCTGTGTGTGTTAGGAGGTGCTGGGTGAGATTTCTTTTCTCAGAAAACCCTTTATTACAGTGTGAACATTCATATGTGTAAAGGCACTTCATACACCGTGCGGTTGTAATTGTCTATTTGGCATTCCATAATTTTATCGTCTGCGAAGATTGTAATTTTTGGCCCAAAACTGGGGCGCGTTATGGCGATGGAAAAGGAATTGCATCGTTAATCGGCATATTATTTATGCCTGCCTGAGACTTTGGTAACAAGTGGCACAGTGGTAAGCATAAATAGAACTTTTAGGTTTAATTTCAAGAGAACTCGCTCAGTATGCATACAGCAATCAGTGTTATCCTACTGTAGAACTTCAATAGCTCGTGTATCAGATTGATGCATTGTACGCATAGTGTGCAGGTCTTTGTGTAGTACTATAATTATGAAAATTTGTTTGTATGGAAATATACAGAAACTCTTAATCAGTATCGAATTTATTGTGTAATGATAACTCAACTAGATTAAACTCAAACCTCAGTCCTGAGGAAATAAGCACTCAAATACGCCAAAACTTGATATAAGATGGTTGACATTACATTTATTGCTCACATAACATTTTTGCAATTACATTGTCTATTTAAGCTGTTTTCGACACCCATTGTATACAGTTAAATACGTTTACAAATATTCCTTATTTGTAGGATATCAGTTTAGAGTTTATTTCTAATTTTCACAACACTTAGTGTATTAAATACTGGACAGTATTGCTATTATGATAATTTAAGTCCAATTACTTTAAATTGAAGTTAATTGTTATTCACCTTAGTATAATGTTTAGACTCATAATACAGTGGAACCTTATTATTAAAGGCACTGATGTGGCAGACTTTACCTATAACAATGTATCTTCTCTCGTCCCAAGTGCCTCGTTATAATGCAGTTGCACTGTAACATGCTTTGATATGATGATATACTTATGTTGGATTTTGTTCATTTGTTTGTTTGTTTATAGTTTTTACGGGAATCTAAGGAACAAAGTGAATCAGCAAGCCAAAGAGTCAGCTTTGACCATGATGAAGAGACTAGATTCAATAAAGCTGTTTTGACTATTGTTTACCCAGTATGAGAACACGTGCGAGCTTTCGTTTGTTTGTCGTCGTAGTCCGGGCAGGCACAGTAAAAACACTTCCAACGTAGCGTCAAAATGGCCTCATCATCATCAACAAGCCTGATTATCAAGATGGAGCCAATAAATAGACGCTAGACATTTGAGTTGAGTTCAACATGACATTTCAGCTGGATGAACCTACGAACATACATATGTAACTACGTTTGGCGACGAGCACAGGATATATGCTAGAGATCAGCTAGAATTGCACCATAACGCATGAATCTCAGAATCTGAGTGGATGTTGATGGATTTTGATTTGGATTGTGAAACGATGTTGTGATCCAGTCATTTCTCATATGTCTCAATAGTTCGAGGTATGTAGAGCTGTGTATGGACGCTATGCAGTTTGATCTACACTAATGTTACAGTTACAATGAATTATGGTTGCAATGCAGCAGTGTCATCGATTTATTATTGAGGTGTATTATGGACACTAAGCTGGAATCGGCCACAATCGTTATTATACACTGTTATAAAATACGTGGCTTTACCATAATTTGCACCAGCAGTTGGCATGCAGCCATAATGTAACAGGACTAAAGCCCAGTGTAGATGTTAGCGGATCAGCCAAGCCCAAGTTCAAGACTATTCTGTGTCACCCTCTCGTAGCAGCCCTAGCATAATTTATGAACTAGCCTAATCCAGCTGAAGTCCAGCTTGAACAACAGCCCGGGAATCGGCCCGGTCAAGCCATACAGCCCGGGAGCCAGCGTGGTTTAGTCTTGTACAGTCCAGGTCCAGCCAGGTTTGAACTTGAAGCATAAATCAAGCCAACAACATTGAATTTATAAATGAAACATTGGATCTGAACTTGATGAAATAAAAGTAGTTAGAACCAGAGCTATAAAAGGCTCTGTGAAACTTCAAGACTCTTGATAACAAATTAACAGAGGTCAAGTAAAAGTTGAATTTTAATAACTATTTCATGTATAGTAGTCTATTGAAAAGTGTTTCCAATATGATTCTGCAAATACTGCATGTTTTGTTTGCAGGTAGCCAGCATTAGTTTTGTGCTCAAGTGACAAGAAAGTTAAAGGTGTAATTTCATTACAAAGTGATATTGACATCGCAGTTCAGAGTCAAGCAAGGAAGGAATATGTGGCGATGTTGAACTTTATCGCATGATCGCGTGGTCTGCATTCAAGCCCTTTTGATAAGCGAATTTTGAGGCGTGCGTAAAGGCTTTATTGGGAGATGTAAAATCAAATTACTATGGAGTATTTGTAATTGCATTAGCAAGAAGCATTTTAAGCGGTTTTACATTGATGAGGTTGGTAGGCTTAGCGCTGTAGCTTTGCTTAAATTGATGTTTGATTTCACTCTAGTTGCATGACAATTTAATTTGGTCAATTTGCTGTACAAGGTGCAAGTGCATGGTTTAGCATAAGAGGCCAGCTCCTTATTACACTTCTGTTGTGTCAAAGCCAATTAAACATGGCAGATTCAAGAAAGTCATCAAGGGAGAGGCAGCCCACGGAAAAAATGGCCGCTCTTCAGGCCTCTGAAGAATCAAAGACAGAGCGGAAGTTTTTCAAGATGTATGGCTCCCTTAAGGCCACAGTAAAGGCAGCTAGAACAATCATTAAGACAGAGACAGAAGAAGGTCCCATCAAACAACAGATATCCATACTGGAAGCTGGAGAGAGGGAATTGATGGAAACCTACGAGATTTTGAGGAGACACAAGGTCCCCATAAGAGAGGCCACCACGAGGATGGACCGTGCCAACGCAATGGTCAGAGATAGCCTCAACGCCTTGGAAGAAGTTCTGGGATCCCTAGAAGGTCCTTTTGACGCCGAGGATCGGAAGCAGATAGCGAAAGAATTCTTGAAACAAGAATATGCTTCATCGGTCTTCAGCTCAATTTTAAGCGAAATGGACCAAGGGGTTGAAACCAGCCAACTGCGTGGAGCCACACCAGTAATTGACATTGATAGCAATCCTGGACAGCCTGTAGAATCTCGTAACACACCATCACTTCTTCCTCAAGACAAAATGTACCCAGGAGTTGGAGTAAACCAACCACCTGAAGGTATTCAAGGGCAGTCAGCAGAACCTCCTGCCAAGACGTCATCTCCTTCCCCTCAAGATGAGATGGGCCCAGAGTTTAGAGTAGGCCAGCTACATGATAGTCTACCTGATTCGCATGTGGAACCTCGTGACAAGACACCACTACAGCCGCCTCAGACAACGTCGGTTGACGTCCAGGGCTTATGTAAGGCTTTAGCAGAGATGTACCACACAAGACTTCCGATGCCAGTGCCACGCACCTTTAGTGGGGATCCGCTCGAGTTTGTAGAGTTCGACAAAGGTTTCAAGACTTTGATCGAAAACCGTGGCATACCACCAACAGAGATGCTGTATTATCTGAAGCAGTACCTGACTGGTCCGGCAAGGGAGGCCGTGGAAGGTTTCTTTTTCGGGGACTCCAAAGAGGCATATGATGGGGCATGGAGGTGCCTTCGACAGAGGTATGGTCATCCTTTTAATATCCAACAAGCGTTCCGGAAGAAGCTAAGTGCTTGGCCGAAGATATCCTCCAAAGATGCCATAGGTCTTCAGAAGTTTGCGGACTACTTAAAGTCTTGTGATGATGCTATGCCATATGTCACTGGCCTCCAGGTGCTAAACGACTGCTATGAGAATCAAAAGATGATAGCCAAACTTCCAGACTGGCTGATTAGTAGCTGGAATAGGGTGGTATCAAATGAGTTGGAAGGCGGCAGCTATCCTTCATTTTCTAAGTTTGTGAAATTTGTTGCTAAGGAGGCAAGGATAGCCAACAATCCCATTTCTTCTCTAGGTGCCCTGAAATCTGAGGACTCTCAAAGAGAATCAAGTCCCAAGACCTTCAAGATCAAGCGAGAAGCAAGAAATAAAGGATCTGCTTTGGCTGTCAACACCAAGGAAAGTGCCAAAGGCAAGAACATCCCAAACCAAGTCAAGAAGGCTCCAAAACCTTGCTGCCTGTGTAGTGAAACTGGACACAAGTCCGAGGACTGTGACAAGTTTTTGGCCAAGCCACTTTCTGAACGCAGGAAGTTTGTTCAAGAAAATCATGTATGCTTTGGTTGCTTACAGAAGGGGCATTTTTCTAAGGCATGTAAACAAAGGCTGAAGTGTAGTACATGTGGTAAGCGCCATCCCACGGCTCTTCATGAGGAAAACCCTACGATAAGAGAGGACAATGCGCACAAGAGTGAAGGAGCTTCTAGGGACAGGGCTACGTCTTGCCAAGTCCGTTCTGGAAAACAAGCTAGCACTTCGATGATTGTACCAGTGTGGGTCGCGGCAGAACAAGCACCATCGTCAGAGATTCTGACTTACGCCCTCCTGGATACCCAGAGTGATTCATCGTTCATTCTAGATGAAGTAGCGCAAGCCCTGAATGCTAAGCAGCAACCCATACGCTTAAAGTTATCTACTATGACTTCGTCATCGAACATTGATTGCAGCGTGACCTCAAGTATCTTAGTTAGAGGTATGATGTCGCCCTCCCAGCTCAAGATAGGAAAATGCTATACGCGTGACTTCATACCGACTGATAGAGAACACATCCCAAGCAGAAGTACTGCTGAGAAGTGGACTCATCTCCAAGATGTTGCAAGAGAGATGCCAGCACTTCAGAGATGCGAAGTCGGCCTACTGATAGGCTATAATTGCCCAAGAGCTCTGACACCAAGACAAGTAGTTACTGGTAGCGATGTAGAACCATTTGCTATTCGAACTGACCTCGGCTGGAGTATTGTTGGCTTTGCCGAAGAAGAGAATGCCATGGACTTCAGTAGCCAGTGTGGGAGGGTTTCTACTCGCGAGATACCATTTCCGAAGCCAAAGGAGATCATAGGGTTGCTTGAGGCAGATTTCGCAGAGGACAAATCGCCGGACAAAGCATGCTCTCAGAATGACCTACAATTCTTGAAACACCTTGAGACCAACATTGTACAATGCGAGGATGGTCATTTGCAGATGCCGCTGCCCTTCAAGACCCGGCCAAACCTTCCAAGCAACAAAAGGTTGGCAACCGTTCGATTCGAACACCTCCATCGAAAGCTTAAGAAGGACGAAGCATATAGAGACAACTATACAAGCTTCATGACAGATATCATAAATGGTGGCTTTGCAGAACAAGTAGAGACCAAGGCGCCGCCTGGAGAAACAAATTACATACTACATCATGGTGTGTATCATCCAATGAAGAAGAAGATGAGAATAGTGTTTGATTGTTCCGCGAAGTACGGCGGCACCTGCCTTAACGATCATCTGCTCAAGGGACCGGACATGATAAACTCATTGGTGGGAGTCCTTTGTCGGTTCAGGAAGCACAATGTAGCAGTGCTATGTGATGTTGAGAAGATGTTCTTTCAGTTTAGGGTCGCTGAGGATGACCGAGACCTCCTGCGCTTCCTGTGGTTCCAAGATAACGACATCAACAAGGAGCCAGTGGATTATCGCATGAACGTCCATCTTTTTGGTGCCGCTTCTTCGCCAGGTTGCGCCAATTATGGCTTAAAGTATCTGGCTAGACATTGCAGCAATGAATTTCCATTGGCATCTCGTTTCGTCGAGCGCAGCTTCTATGTGGATGATGGGCTGGTGAGTGTATCCAGTGAAGAGGAAGCCATTCAGTTGGCCAATGAAGCCAGACAACTTTGCAGCAAGGGTGGCTTACGTCTCCACAAGTTTGTTTCGAATTCTAAGGCAGTTCTGGAGAGTCTGCCAAAGTCTGAGCGTGCCAGTGATGTCACTGACTCAAACTTGGATTTTGAGGATCAAGTAGAGCGTGCTCTGGGGATAGTTTGGAATGTGGCCACGGATGCCTTTTGTTTCAGAATTTCCCTGAAAGAGAAACCAATGACATGGCGGGGAATTCTGTCCATAGTCGCATCCCTTTATGACCCTCTCGGATTTGTGGCTCCGGTCGTTCTCGATGGCAAGAGAATCCTTCAAGAAATGTGTCGTAGCGGGCTTGGGTGGGATGATCCAGTACCCGAGAACCTGCAATCAAGGTGGGAGCAATGGTGTAAGGAAATCCCGCAGCTAGAGGAGCTAAGAATACCTCGGTGTTATCATCCTGCCGAGTTTGGTGATCCTGTAACAGTGCAGCTACACCATTTCTCGGATGCCAGCAAGTCTGGTTATGGCCAATGCTCTTATTTGCATCTTGTTAACCAGAAAGGAGAAGTTCACTGTTGTCTGATCTTCGGCAAATCAAGGGTTGCGCCAACCAAGGTGGTTACAATTCCCAGGTTAGAGTTGACAGCGGCAGTTGTGTCAGCTAAGGCGCACTCTATGTTGAAAGAAGAGCTAGAGTATCATGATGCCGAAGATTTCTTCTGGACAGATTCCCAAGTAGTCCTGGGATACATCCACAATGATGCGCGGAGGTTCCACACGTTTGTTGCTAATCGAGTCCAGCTAATCAGAGATAGGACTTCTCCCGACCAATGGCATTATGTCTCGACTGATCAGAACCCTGCTGACCATGCTTCCAGAGGATTGAGCGTAAGTCAGCTGGGTAGCACAAATTGGTTCCAAGGACCAAGCTTCCTCTGGGAGAAAGACTTTGCAGTAGGAAGTATCTCTCCGACACTCGCCGTTGGGGATCCGGAAGTGAGAGCAACCAACCTATCGACAACTACTCATTCGGAACCGTTGAACCTCCTCTCGCGCCTTACCAGGATCTCTAGTTGGAAGATGATGATCAAGGTATTGGCTCGTCTACGGATGGTAGTGAAGGGAGCAAGACAAGGTTCCTTAGTTCGTGAGAGAAAGGACGCAGAGCTGTTCATTCTGCGGTTAGTTCAACAGGAAGCTTACCCTGAAGAAATCAAGGCTCTGACGTCGGACAAGACCGTTAAAACGACAAGTACCATCCATGACCTTGACCCAATAATCCTTGATGGGATCATGCGAGTGAAGGGCAGACTTGGCGAACTATCGACAGAAGTGGCTCACCCTGTTATCCTGCCCAAGCGTAGCCCTATCACTCGGGCGATTATCCGCCACTTCCATGAGGATATCGAACATCAGGGTCGAGGAATGACGCAGAATCACCTGAGAGCCAATGGATTCTGGATTGTAAACGGATCTAAAGTCGTTGCAGAGGTATTGCGAAAGTGTGTGTCATGCAGACGTCTTCGTAGGCCTCAAGAAGAGCAGAAAATGGCAAACTTGCCAAGAGATCGAGTAGAACCTTCGGCTCCTTTCACGAATGTGGGTATGGATTGTTTCGGTCCTTTCTTTGTAAGGAGAGGTCGTTCTGATATTAAGCGATATGGGCTTATATTCACATGTCTCTGTTCAAGAGGTATCCACATTGAGATGCTCGACGACATGACTACCGACGCATTCATCAATGCTCTCCGCTGTTTCATAGCAATTAGGGGAGCTGTCCGACAGATTAGGTGCGACCCAGGCAGTAACTTCGTAGGAGCAAGAAACGAGCTCCAATCTGCATTGAGAGAGATGACTTTAGACCAAGTGAATACGTACCTTGCAGACCAGCAATGTGAATTTGTCTTCAACGCCCCTCACTCAAGTCACGCAGGTGGCGTGTGGGAAAGACAGATTCGAACCGTCAGAAGTGTCTTAAGGGCTACCATAGACCTGTGTCCAGGAAGACTCACAGACTCCGCTCTTCGTACCTTGTTTTACGAAGCCATGGCAATCGTCAATAGCCGACCGTTAACAGTGACCAATATGAATGACCCAAGTGCGGATGCACCTCTCACGCCAAACCACCTCCTTACTCTGAAGAGGACGGTTCCGTTGCCCCCTCCTGGGCAATTTGTGAAGGAGGATGTGTACACGCGTAAAGCCTGAAGGGTTCAGTTCTTACTGGAACAGTTCTGGTCAAGATGGCGGAAAGAGTACTTGTTGGGACTTCAAAGACGACAGAAATGGACGATGCCCAGACGGAATTTACAAGTGGGAGACATTGTATTGCTCACTGACGATGAAGCTCCGCGTATGAAATGGCCAATTGCGATGGTCGCAGAAGCCACTCCTGATGAAGATGGTCTGGTCAGACGGGTACAGGTGCGCGTTGGAACGAAAGACCTTGACAACAAAGGTCGTCCAAACAAGAAGCTTGCCGAATACTGGAGGCCGGTTCAGAAGCTCGTACTGCTTCTGGAAAAGGTACCTCCATAGAGCAGGTATGTATGTACACTTGAGATTGTTTGGAGCGGGTACAAATGTTTGACCTTGCATTTGCACATGTACTTCGTTTTCTGGTACAGTTTAAAAATTTAGGACTCAAATTCTGATCTTGTTTGCTGCGAATTTTAGATACACAGCGCTTAAATATTGTCGCAACCTTTAAGCTTGCCTTACAACCTTTGCAGTGTGTGTTATAATCTTTTACAGCACATGTTATAAACGTGCATTGTTTGAGTTCCGCATCATCACTTGTGCCATTCTGGTTTGATCAAGCTATTCAATTGCCATGTTATTCGTGTTGTAGATTGCAAGTGTACCAATTTACATGCAAGAGGTGTATGGAGTGCTTGCTTAAAAATTTCCATATTATGGTCACATTATTTCACATGCACCACTTATGTAATACTAGTAAATGCATTTTCATATATATGTAAGTGTACTCATGCATGTGATTATGTTACCAGTGAAGGCAATTTTGGTGGGAGTGTAAAGGCACTTCATACACCGTGCGGTTGTAATTGTCTATTTGGCATTCCATAATTTTATCGTCTGCGAAGATTGTAATTTTTGGCCCAATACTGGGGCACGTTATGGCGATGGAAAAGGAATTGCATCGTTAATCGGCATATTATTTATGCCTGCCTGAGACTTTGGTAACAAGTGGCACAGTGGTAAGCATAAATAGAACTTTTAGGTTTAATTTCAAGAGAACTCGCTCAGTATGCATACAGCAATCAGTGTTATCCTACTGTAGAACTTCAATAGCTCGTGTATCAGATTGATGCATTGTACGCATAGTGTGCAGGTCTTTGTGTAGTACTATAATTATGAATATTTGTTTGTATGGAAATATACAGAAACTCTTAATGAGTATCGAATTTATTGTGTAATGATAACTCAACTAGATTAAACTCAAACCTCAGTCCTGAGGAAATAAGCACTCAAATATGCCAAAACTTGATATAAGATGGTTGACATTACATTTATTGCTCACATAACATTTTTGCAATTACATTGTCTATTTAAGCTGTTTTCGACACCCATTGTATACAGTTAAATACGTTTACAAATATTCCTTATTTGTAGGATATCAGTTTAGAGTTTATTTCTAATTTTCACAACACTTAGTGTATTAAATACTGGACAGTATTGCTATTATGATAATTTAAGTCCAATTACTTTAAATTGAAGTTAATTGTTATTCACCTTAGTATAATGTTTAGACTCATAATACAGTGGAACCTTATTATTAAAGGCACTGATGTGGCAGACTTTACCTATAACAATGTATCTTCTCTCGTCCCAAGTGCCTCGTTATAATGCAGTTGCACTGTAACATGCTTTGATATGATGATATACTTATGTTGGATTTTGTTCATTTGTTTGTTTGTTTATAGTTTTTACGGGAATCTAAGGAACAAAGTGAATCAGCAAGCCAAAGAGTCAGCTTTGACCATGATGAAGAGACTAGATTCAATAAAGCTGTTTTGACTATTGTTTACCCAGTATGAGAACACGTGCGAGCTTTCGTTTGTTTGTCGTCGTATTCCGGGCAGGCACAATATGGCTTTTCTCCTGTATGTGTTCGGAGATGACGTTTAAGATTATTTTTCAGAGAAAATCCTTTCTTACAATAGCAACATTCATATGGCTTTTCTCCTGTTTGTGTTAGAAGGTGTCGGTGAGACTTATTTTCTGAGAATACCCTTTATTGCAGTGTGAACATTCATATGGCTTTTCTCCTGTGTGTGTTAGGTGTTGGGTGATACTTCTTTTCTCAGAAAACCCTTTCTTACAGTTTGAACATTCATATGGCTTTTCTCCTGTGTGTGTTCGGAGATGACGTTTAAGAGTACTTTTCAGAGAAAACCTTTTCGTGCAGTGTGAACATTCATATGGCTTTTCTCCTGTGTGTGTTTGTAGGTGTCAGGTAAGAGTACTTTTCAGAGAAAACATTTTCTTGCAGTGTGAACATTCATATGGCTTTTCTCCTGTGTGTGTTAGGAGGTGTTGGGTGATACTTCTTTTCTGAGAAAACCCTTTCTTACAGTTTGAACATTCATATGGCTTTTCTCCTGTGTGTGTTCGGAGATGACGTTTAAGAGTACTTTTCAGAGAAAACCTTTTCGTGCAGTGTGAACATTCATATGGCTTTTCTCCAGTGTGTGTTAGGAGGTGTTGGGTGAGATTGCTTTTCTTAGAAAACCTTTTCTTGCAGTATGAACATTCATATGGCTTTTCTCCTCTGTGTGTTAGGAGGTGTTGGGTGAGACTTATTTTCTCAGAAAACCCTTTCTTACAGTTTGAACATTCATATGGCTTTTCTCCTGTGTGTGTTAGGAGGTGTTGGGTGATACTTCTTTTCTGAGAAAACCCTTTCTTACAGTTTGAGCATTCATATGGCTTTTCTCCTGTGTGTGTTCGGAGATGACGTTTAAGAGTACTTTTCAGAGAAAACCTTTTCGTGCAGTGTGAACATTCATATGGCTTTTCTCCAGTGTGTGTTAGGAGGTGTTGGGTGAGATTGCTTTTCTTAGAAAACCTTTTCTTGCAGTATGAACATTCATATGGCTTTTCTCCTGTGTGTGTTAGGAGGTGTTGGGTGAGACTTATTTTCTCAGAAAACCCTTTCTTACAGTTTGAACATTCATATGGCTTTTCTCCTGTGTGTGTTAGGAGGTGTTGGGTGAGACTTCTTTTCTCAGAAAACCCTTTATTACAGTGCGAACATTCATGGGGCTTTTCTCCTGTATGTGATAGTTTATGACGATTGAGTACACTTTTCTGTGAAAATCCTTTCTTACAATAGCAACATTCATATGGCTTTTCTCCTGTATGTATTAGTATATGTTGATTGAGTACACTTTTCTGAGAGAATCCTTTCTTACAATAGCAACATTCATATGGCTTTACTCCTGTGTGTGTTCGGAGATGAAGATTGAGTTCATTTTTTTGTGAAAATCCTTTCTTACAATAGCAACATTCATATGGCTTTTCTCCTGTATGTATTAGTTTATGACGATTGAGTACACTTTTCTGAGAGAATCCTTTCTTACAATAGCAACATTCATATGGCTTTTCTCCTGTATGTGTTAGTATATGACGATTGAGATCATATTTCCGTAAAAATCCTTTCTTACAATAGCAACATTCATATGGCTTTTCTCCTGCATGTGTTAGTAGATGACAATTGAGGAGGCTTTTCCGAGAGAATCCTTTCTTACAGTAAGAACATTCATGTGGCTTTTCTCCTGTATGTATTAGTATATGTTGATTGAGTGCACTTTTCCGTGAAAATCCTCTCTTACAATAGCAACATATATACGGCTTTTCTCCTGTGTGTGTTAGGAGGTGCTGGGTGAGACTTCTTTTCTCAGAAAATCCTTTCTTACAGTGTGAACATTCATATGGCTTTTCTCCTGTGTGTGTTAGGAGGTGCTGGGCGAGATGGCTTTTCCGAGTAAACCTTCTATTACAGTGTGAACATTCATATGGCTTTTCTCCTGTATGTGTTCTGAGATGACATTTAAGATTATTTTTCTTAGAAAATCTTTTCTTACAATAGCAACATTCATATGGCTTTTCTCCTCTGTGTGCTAGTAGATGACAATTGAGTACGCTCTTCTGAGAAAATCTTTTCTCACAATAGCAACATTCATATGGCTTTTCTCCTGTGTGTGTTAGGAGGTATTGGTTGAGATTTCCTTTGTTAGAAAACTTTTTCTTACAATGTGAACATTTATACGGCTTTTCTCCTGTGTGTGTTAGTATATGAGAATTGAGTGCACTTTTCTTAGGAAATCCTTTCTTACAATAGTAACATTCATATGGCTTTTCTCCTGTATGTGCTAGTATATGACAATTGAGTGTACTTTTCCGAGAAAATCCTTTCTTACAATAGCAACATTCATATGGCTTTTCTCCTGTATGTATTAGTTTATGACGATTGAGTACACTTTTCTGAGAGAATCCTTTCTTACAATAGCAACATTCATATGGCTTTTCTCCTGTATGTGTTAGTATATGACGATTGAGATCATTTTTCCGTAAAAATCCTTTCTTACAATAGCAACATTCATATGGCTTTTCTCCTGCATGTGATTTCAAGTGGAGAAGGGGATGAATGGCCTGACATGATCTCTTACTGCAACATGGACATTGATGTAGCTTTTCTCCAAAATGTATCCTCAGATGAATGTCGAGTTGATCTTTTGTGGAAAACACCTTGCCGCAATGTGAAGAAAGATGAGATTTACCTCCACTGTTGATTGACGTTCCACGTTCTACCGTCTCTTGTCCGTTGTCAACAATATCACCTGGTGGCGAGAACAAGAAAGCTCATGTCATCGAAACCTCAGATATAGTGTTAGAAATTACATGAGTGTCCTGTCACTTCAAATTGAGAAAGAAGTTTTTGGATTATTTTCTGAACTTGAGAAAGATGAATATGCCAAAATGGGTTCAAGCATGTAGGCCGTCTAATTGGTCAAATGACACCACATGACCATGCATCTTTGTTTCCAATCATGCCTACCATGCAATAAAAGTTCCCATCAAATTCTTGGACTACCATCTGGTTCCATCTACTTTTTAAATAATTATATTAGGGACATATCACATACATGTAATTGCCTACTAAGATTTCATAATAATACACAATATTTCAGAGGTGTTTTTTATTTTATTTGTAGTGGTCACCCCTAAATCGGTTACGGTAAGTGGATGCAAAATAGACAAAAGACAAATGGTGATTGGCAAGATGCACTTTTTTGTCTTATTACTTGTTTGGAAAGAGTGGGCTAACGGACATGCTACAAGCTTAGCTATAAAGATGCCTGAAGTCTGACAATGAATGAGTTAAAATCTGCATGAACTGAATTATATCAAAGGAAGCAGATTACAGTGATAGGTCCTGATCCAGGGTTGGCATATTTCCCGCTTCGGAGGCTTATTTCCCGGATGCTGGGAAATAAGCGGTATTTACCGCTTTTTACCGGGAAATATATTTTTTCACTCACTTGTTCATAGGGATTGTTCAATTTTGAACATAATAACAATGTTGGTGAGTATGGTTGCTCTGGTATGCACTATTTGTGTGTGTGTGTGTTTGTCCGTTATTATGAAATGCTGGAAAAAATACAGCAAAAAGATCCCAAATATACACCTAATCTAGATATGATGTTCTTCATTAAAGATATTTTATTGAATGAAAAGAAGTGTGAAATCATGGTTATTACATCAAATTGTTAACGAAGGTCATTTGATAAAATCAATATCCAGATAAATGGAATCCCTCTAAAAACTGTTAAGACAATGAAGTATCTAGGAGTTATTTTAAAGAAGAAAATGAATTGGCAAAATCAAGTCACACACGTAAAGAAAAAAAACGTTATCCAGTATATATTGTTCAAAACGTGCGAGACCATATATTTCGCAAGATACAGTCGTAATAATTGGGCAAAAAGAATTTCCGTCTCGGTTTAATAACCTCAACCTCATTTTGATTATTGTTTGGCATTATTATATCTTTATGCTTGTTATTTTATTTGATGCAATAGTTTGTTATTTAATTTTTGTATTTAATGCATGTATGTCATCTTTAAGTAGTTTTCCTATGTATTTACTGATGTATATGTAATTGAGATCTGTTTTATGCTTTTTACACGAACTTGCTGAAAAGCAGTCTTTTTAGACTGATGTGAGTTTACCGTGAATAAATCAATTCAATTCAATTCAATGTCCCTTTTGCAGCCAACATCAAATTCTGTACAACTTTGCAGGAATAACGAATATGTCATGTATGTCCTATCTGTGAAATTTAAACATTAGCTGTGTCCTAATATTCAAATTATGCAAGGAAACCCGTTTACTTGCTAGAATTCAATGTCAAACACTATTGAGTGACTGACTGCCTTTTTTTCTTCTTTGATAATTAACATCAATAAAATGAGCTGTAAAGGTCTAAGGGTACATGAGCATTTGTCTACATCAATAACCCACTTCTTGAAAGGGCCAAAATTAAACTGATTGAATCTTTGCACAGCATAAAACGTACGACCATTCGGTACAATCACTTACTGGCTCTATAGCTCTTAAGTCGATTCGACAACTAATAGTTGTTATTTTCCCACTTAAAGACATTTCAAGCCCCCCTTTTTTTAGGGAAGTTCTAATTTAGTATAATCTTTCAAATGCCGTTGTAATTTAACCTTTTCATTTTTTGGGACTGCAAATTGGACATAGTTTCTTTAATTCAGTTGTTAATTACCATAATCATGAATACCTATTATTTAGCATATGAACAAAATGCCATGTGCTTCAAAAACCATGTGCAATATTTTCGGTTGTTGAGGCTAAAAACAAGTAAAATTATTAATAAATAGAGAATTAAAAATCATATTTCCTGTTTTTTACAAATTTACCAGACGCGCATCTTATTTACTGGATGGTATTTACCAGTATTTACCGCTGGTAAGACCTAAAATAAAACCTTGTTGTATTGCCCCCTGCGACAAACCCAAAAATCTGAAAATCTACGGTCGGCATTTTAAAAAAGTTTATTTTTTAAACCGTTTTATAGATTTTTTAACAATTATTGAATAAAATAACATGTATTTTGTTTGTTTAAATGGGATATAAATGCATAAAATCAAATTATTCCAAATTTCTCACTCGTGCAAACCATGGATAATTATGAGATGAATAAGATTAAATGTATTAAAGCACTAAAATAAATGAGAAATATCAGCCAAAAGAGGGCGGGAAAAAAGAAGAAAAAACAACAATAACATTCAAATCTGAAAAATATAGGCCCAAACGGAAGGTGACAACAAAAAAAAGTTTAAAAAAAAAAAAAAACTTTTTCGACCGACTGACCGACCGACCCATGTTTTGGCAACCAAAGGCCAATACAACAAGTTTTTATTTCAGGCCTAATTACCGCCACTGGTATTTATCGCCCAACCCTGTCCTGATCAGACCTCATTGCTAAAGATAATGATAACCACTGCGATAAATTGCTCCCAAATCGTTCTGTTATGAAAGTGGAAAATGTATTTGAAATTTGTTGCAGATGTAAGTCAGACATTGATGTATATGCTAATGAGCCTGCCTCGACTATTTTATCTTGCTATTGGGATTGCTCGGCCAATGATTCTTTTTGAAGCAAGCAGAAACGATAACATCTGTAACCTAATAATTGCACTTCTTTGAAGTGATGCAGTGACAACAGTGTTTGACTGACACAACTAACAATTCTTTTCTGTGAAAATTGGGGAGGTCTTACCACTAAATACATCTTGCAATATGCACATGCTTTATCGTTTATTCGTTATCGGTATGGTCTGACCAGGCCTTTAAAAACCTCATTGTACTATAGATTAAACCTACCTTCTGATGTAGGTTGTTCAGATTCCTCGTCTCCATCAGTACTTGACACAGGATTATGGGTTGTACTATCCACTTCATGATTGATTCTACCTGAAATAATTCATTAGTGACGGATTATTTAAAATCAGTCTTTCTTTATTAAATGTTAGTGCAGTCCTTCAAGTTCGATCTGTACATGTACAAGGAGATTACAGCAAACAAAACACATTCATTGGTCCATTTCTACACTTACAAATACAGCTGTCACACCCTCAATGGAAAATATTTAGTGAGTTTAAAATTGCTGTTAAGGCGATTTATTAGGTATCTTTAGTATTCTGCATTCGGATGATCTGCGATGCACAATCACTTTTGTGTTTAATAGCTGATAATGTAGATACTGTATACCACTTAAATGTCAAGGGACTAGAGACTGCTAGAAGATTTGTGTTGGAAAACTAGACAAGTGAATATGAATTATTCACATTGACTGTATCTTGATACATATCATCAGGTAAATTCCCATCATTTTTAGCATCACTTGACAGAATGCTTCAAGATAGCCCAAGGGGCCTTGCATGGTCATGTCCTACAAATGACGGACATTTGGTATTGTGGTTTGTAGATTTGAAGTACCTTGCGCACTAGGTAATGCGCGAGCCATTTATCACGTGAGCCGCAAAGCCACGCCCTCGCCATGATTCAGGCTACTTCATGCATCATGCATTTTGCAGCGTTTTACACGATCCCACATCTTCACCTCAGCTATTCATATTGTACGAAGGCGCGGCATGAATTTGTGAAACATTCATAGCGCTGTGTCCATTAACGTGGGGGCAAGCTAGCTGAGCGTGGCGTGACATGCATAGACGAACTTGGTATCTAGTATTTGTCACTGTACTGATCATTGAGCGATCACGAGTGCAAGATTTGTTGGCAAAAGTTCGAGTTCAGAGACGCCTACAACGTGTTTGTTCAATTTTAAATTATGACAGATTGTTTTTAAGTGTGTGTGTCCGTATTTTTGGAGTTCTGTTTTAAGCCTCTTTTCATGAACATGATTATGTATGTCTTTATCAAAACGATTACCGTAAACGAAACCACCCATATCAAGTTAACAGTTAAACGTTTAACAAAAGAAACCTTAATGACTCAGGCATACTTTGTACACAGGTTTTACTGAAATATCAATTCAAGTAATACCTTCTAGACTTGATGGAACACCTTCCTCTTCACTTTCTTCTGTAAATTCTTGCTTGATGTTGGTTTTGAGGGCTAACTGATTAATTTCCTCTCCAACGGTTGAAAAGGCCTCTGGTTCTTCCTTGATGAGAACTTCTATGACTGACGGAATGAATTCATTCATGGGTGACAGGTAATGAACGGCATTGCTATCAACCTCTTGCTTGATGAGAACTCCTTCAACAAATTGAATAGTTTCTGTTGAGCTCCTATTTGGAGTTGGCAATGTATGTAAGGTCCAACTCTCTGCTTTTTGCATGTGTTCTGGGACTGATGGGGCAGTTTCATCTACACTCTGTTCAGTATGTCGCAAAGATTTTGAGGTCTTACTTTCCATTTCTTGCTTTTTAGTATGTCCTAGGGTTGTTTCTATGCACATATCTATAGAACGCAGTGAACTCAAGGTCCTACTCTGAACTTTTTGCTTGACATTATCTTCTGGGACTGACTGAACACTTTCTGCTGCACTCTGATCCATTGTTCTGAGAGGATTTGATGCCCCTCTGGGCCCTCTCTCTGCTACTTGCTTGATCATATCTTCTGGGACTGACTGAACACTTTCTGCTGCACTCCTTTCCGTTGTTCTGAGAGGATTTAATGCCCCTCTCTCTGCTACTTGCTTGATCATATCTTCTGGGACTGACTGGACACCTTCTGCTGCACTTATGTGGTTTGGTGATGATCAAGTGTCCCTCTCTCCATTTCTTGCTTGACTTCTGGGAATGACTGAACAGTCTCTGCTGCCATTAGATCTGCAGGCTGCACTGAATTCAAAGTCCTCACATCTGCTTCTTGCTTTAAGCCTACATTCCCTAAAAATAGCAACAAAACAAAGGTGTTTTACAACATATTCTTGCAAATGGAGATAATTAAGCAATGCTTTCTTGTGAAAATCAATCATACTCTGAGCACTACCAATATATTGAAAATGTATAGTAGTCGATCGTAGTGGAAGAAGTAGTAGAAGTAGTAGTAGTAGTAGTAGTAGAAGTAGTAGTAGTAGTAGTGGTAGAAGTAGAAGTAGTAGTAGTAGTAAAAGTAGTAGTAGTACAATTAGTAATAGTAGTAGTAGTAGTAGTAGTAGTGGTAGTGTTTTACCAGGGACATGGTACACACAAAAAACAAAAACAAAAGTTTAAATTTATGCCCCTCCACCTGGCGCAATGCCTGGCAATGTCTCCCAGCTCAGTAATCTGTGTGTTGACTTACCACTTGGAAACTAGAACAACACTTAAATTTTCATCTTGGTTGAAAGTAATTTTTCTAATAGATCTCAATATGTAGTTTATAAGTTCCTCCAATTTTTCTTCTATTCATAATTTCATATTCATATTTATATTTATTTCATTTCCAACAGAAAGGTAAACAAAGATATTACTTTCTTTTTTTTCATACATAATTCATTTTTTCAGGAAACTATACAAATAAAGTTTGCACATAAAGTTTGTGGATCCCCCAGAAGAAAAAAATATAATTGTTTCAAATTTTGCCGACGAAGACTTAGAAAACACAAGACAATATTACAACACAACAGACAACCACGAAAAGAACAAGAAGTAAAACAAATAACAAGGAAAAGGGAAAAGGGGGAAGAAGAAAGAAAGAAGCAGGGCAAATCATGACCGAAAAAAAGGTAGTTATAATGTTAATTTTGGGAAGGTAAGATCATAACACCTAATAAATATTAAATTAATCGAGCAGATGATGAAGACCTCAATGAAAAATTAAGATGATTACCAACTGTTATCAGATTATTCTTGTATATTACTATAAGATTTGAGCAAAAATGTTTTTAGATTTTTGTTGAAAGAATTTAGGGATGGACTATTTTTAATACCTTCACTCAGAGAATTCCAAAATCTAGGACCATCATACATAAAAGACTTCTTCGCTAATAAAGTTCTTAAGAAAGGTAGGTGATACTCTTTTGACCGTCTAGTTGGGTAATCATGAAATGACCTATTTAGGGGGAACATGGCATCAAATATATGTGGAAGGGTCTTTTTTGAATACCTATACATAAATTGTCCTAAGTGAAGTAGATACAGGTCATTTGTTTTGAATAGTCTGCCATTAACAAATAACGGGTCTATGTGTGAGAGTGGAGCAGAATGGTAAATAATACAGGAGACTTCTTTTGTAATAATAACAGTCTATTACTCTATTTAGTAGAGTTTGCTGTGTGTTGCCCTAAGCAAGTATCCCATAATTCAGATATGGTAAAATTAAAGATGAATAAAGCATAATATTCTTGGGCAGTGTGTCAATAGAATTACTAAATATATATATTTGTTTTTTGGAGGTTAAGGGATAGTTTGTTTGCTTTTATCCATTGGGTGACTTTTTCAAGTTCAGAATTTACAACATTGACTAGAGAATTTGGATTTCTATGGGAATAAAATAAATTAGAATCGTCTGCAAAAAGTATAAATGAAAGGACATCGCATAATTTACAACAGTCACTTATATAAATAATAAACAAAGGGTCCAACAAACTTCCCTAAGGTACTCCACAATTTATGTTTTGCATATTGGAAGTATGATCATTCGAGAATACATATTGTCGTCTATTGGATAAGTAACTCATGAACCACTCCAAGGCCTTCCCACGCACCCCATAATGAAGAAGTTTGAATAATAAGATGTCATGATTGATGGTGTAGAAGGCCTTGGAGAAGTCCAGGAAGATACCAACCAGGTGAGAGCAATTGTCTAAAGCATGGGCTACTTTGTCAATAAAATTCTATAAGGCATGTTCTGTATTTATTTTTCTCTAAATCCAAACTGAAAGTTGGAAAAAATACTATGAGTTTTTAAAAAGTAAACAGTTCTACGATAAACAACTTTTTCTAGAATTTTCGACAAGGAGGATAATAAAGAGATTGGTCAATAATTACTGACATTCAACTTATCACCTTTTTTGTATAGGGGTATGACTTTTGCGATTTTCATATTATCTGGGACTTGTCGATTAATTAACGATAGATTAAGAATGTGTACTAAAGGATTTACAATTGAAGATATTACACCTTTTAGAATAAAATTATTACCGGTAATATCATCATAGCCGGGACTCTTTTTGTTATTCAAATTGATACAAAATCAATGATATCTTCTTTAACTATAGGAGTGAGAAAAATAGTATTGGGGTTGGGTGTGCCTAGGTAATCAGAGAAATGTTTGGCTGAAGGAGGAATACCTTCAGCCAAGTTTGTCCCTATAGAGGAAAAAAAGTTGTTGAAAGTATTATTGGCTATGTTTTCAGGATCTTCGACAATATCATCATTATACCTAATTTTAGTTACCGGTATATCTGATTTGTTGATGGATAAATTCATTGCTTGTTTTAAAATCTTCCATGTGTTTTGAATATCGTTTTTATATAAAGTTAACTGGTTTGTAAAGTAATTTTGTTTTGATAATCGTATTGTTTTAGTTAAAATATTTTTATAACTGGTGTATCTAGCTTTTGCCTGTTCAGTACCTTTCATTTTACATTTAAAGTAAAAGTTATTTTTTCTGTTAATTGAACGTAAAAGTGATTTAGAAATCCATGGAAGTCTCAGTGATTTTTTGTAGGTAGTTCCTTTTTCTTGTCGGCGTACCACAAGGTTCTATCCTAGGTCCTCTGTTTTTAATTTACATTAATGATCTTACACATTCTTCTAAAAACGACATTGTTACTATTATTTTTGACAAGTTTGCTAGCACAAATCGGCGTCTTCAACTGCACCTCGCAGTTAAATGAAAGTCCTTTCCCGCGGACTTGGCTTAATGCCAGTTTTTTTTTTTTTTCCCTTGGCTCCAAAAATAGGGGTGCATCTTATACACAGGTGCGTCTTATACACTGAGATTTACGGTAGTAGGCCTAGTGGTAGTAATAGTGGTGGTAGTAGACTTAGTAGTAGTAGTAGTAGTAGTAGTAGTGTTTTACACGGCATTAAAGCGAATACATATAGGAATCAGAAAAAGACATTAAAGCCCAAGTCCACTCCAAAAATAAGTTACTTTCAATAGAACCAGAAAAATCAGACAAAGCAATCAAAAAAAGTTTGAGCAAAATCGGATGACTAATAAGAAAGTTATGAATTTTTAATGACATGAATTTTTTTTTAAATCACTGCACAAATTGGCAACTCACTCATGAGTCTGTGACGTATGGTCCTCACTATCCACTAATTATTTTCTTTATATTGATAATATAAATTTCCTATTTTCACCCTAAGAATCTTATTTCTTCACACCAGCATCCAAGTTACATTGTTTGTAATATGTTTTTGTGTGGATGCACAAATAAAGAGTAATTTTTGTCCAGTTAAATCATGAAAAATTGAATTTTGATAAACTATTTATATAAAAATCAATAATTATGAAATACAATATTCGGCAAATAGTATCAATTCTTCAAAATTCATAATTTTTGGGGGGAAATGTCATGCACGCAATATGATACAAATTAGGCTTGGGAGCGAGAGCCGAGTACCCGACTCTAACCGATTCTGAAATCCAGAACCGAGGAGTCGACTCCAATCTCTAGAGAGTCGATTACTCGAGCACGTCGGTTCCGAGAAAAGGAGACTCGGTTCCAAGATAAGAACCGAGTCTTTGGCGCTGGAGTCGACTCCACAGCACCACAAATCAAAGAGATACTTTGCAAAAAACATTGCCCGAACGAACTGGAGGCGATTCCACAGCATAGAGAATGAACACAATCAGCTCTGTCAAAGCAGAATGCATGCGAGAGATGGGCGCACTGACAGCATGCTGTTTTGATACACACATTTGTGTGTGTACCTTCTTGTAGTACTATGCATCAGAGTGAGTGAGGTGTGTGTAGCACTGCTGTGTGTTGCCCCTGTAACTGCCCCCCCCCCCTCCCAGCTGAACGTTTGACCTTTGATGAATTGCGCAAGAGTGTTGGAACAATGACCCCATTTTCTCTCCTCTTGGAGCGTGTGTGATAATGATCAAAGGAGTTGATTCATGCAGGGACATGCTTCCTGATTCATGTTTTCTCTCGTGCGCAAACTGATTTATGTGACTTTGTTTTTGCTCTCTCTCTCTCTCTCTATCCCTAGTCTCCCCTTCCCCTAGACATCAGACGTTTAGTTTTCTTCCTCAAATAAACTAAAATCACACAACTCACAATTTCCTCCTCCTTTCTCTCCCTTGAATTCTCCTCATCGGGTTTTTTTTCTTCTTAAAAATAAGTTTGACAGGTCTACAATTTACATGTACATTCCCCCACCCCCTATCTCTTGTATCCTTCAGTTATTTTTTTTCCTCGCGCCATCTCTAATAGTGGCTGAAAATGCAGACTAGTTATTCCAAAACCACGATCTAGCGCTGTTATCTGTTGTTTAGAGAGCACGTGGTTAGCAGTATCCATGGGAATGGAGTGCCACGCGCTGGGGCTGGTTTACACTTAGCTCTTAGATAAAGATAGGTCCCTGGGAGGAGAGCCAGCGGGCCAGGCATATTTCGGATATATTTCATTTATTTTAGGCAGGGAATCAGAATCTTTAGTTTTACATGACGACTTCTTACTCTGATAATGGATTGTTTACTGTAATAGTGGAAATAATTGTTCTGCATATCTTTTATTTTAGCAGTGTAAGTACTAGACCGAAAGCTTCAGTCTCTATAATCGTCGGTTGTTCCACTGAGACTACGTCTGGCTCCACCTCAGTGGAACAACCGACGATTATAGAGACTGAAGCTTTCGGTCTATGTAAGTACGAGTTGATTATTCCATCATTCTACGTTGAAGTTTAGAATTTAAAATAGACCTAGGGTCTAAAATGTTTTTGTTTGTTTACATTGTTGCCAAGTTACCATGAGTTATTAAATAATTAATTACTTTATTAGCAGTGGTCATGTTTCTTTCTCGATTTGATCGAAAGTAGTAAAATAAATCATTTCATAACTGTTTATAAAGGTCTGCACTTTGATCTTCTTTATTGTTTGCATGTAATTGTAGAGATATCATGAGATGAAACAGATATAAACACAACATCAATTTACACACACAAGTCACACATACAGTCATACTTTTTATACTCATTTTTCAAAGTAAAGTTTTCCAAAAAAATATCATGGATTGCTATCAGTGCCACTGCTGAGTGGAGACGACATGCACAGTACATAACGTACAGTGTGTAAACACCTCCCTGGTGTGTGTGTGGCCTTGTGGCTTCAATTACATGTACTGTATCTGGTAGCCAGCGGGAGTCGATTCCACTTGGAACCGAGGCCGAGAGTGGGAACCGGAGTCGGTTCTCATCAACAAGGGAACCGCCCAAGCCTAATACAAATCATATAACCTGGGCAAAGGCATGGGGAAATCAAGTTGTGGGGGATAAAAAGGGAAATTAATGGGATTAAACTATATAAAGCAATTGATAAGTTGTGAGGACATGACGTCACAAACTGATAACCATCTTGACAATTTGTGTCGTGATTCTCATTGTTCCATAGTTTTACATACTTTTTCAAAAATTCATAACTTTCTTATTAGTTATCCGATTTTGCTCAAACTTTTTTTGATTGGTTTGTCTGATTTTTCTGCTTTTATTAAAAGTAAGTTATTTTTTTAGTGGACTTGTCCTTTAAACATGTAAAGATGAAGATAATGCAACCACTGGAATGCCAGGGACACATTAAGTTATTCTACATAGTTATGTAACAACTGTGGCATAAAGCCTTCTGTCCCAGTTTCAGTGGATGTTAACATAAAATGATGATAAAATACATAAAATACACAACATACATAAAGTTGGATGTCCTGACTTTTTACAAGAACATGTAATATAAAACCCCAATATCACATCATCCACAATTCCACATACTGTAGGTTGGATTCGAACCCGAAAATCTTTGGTTTAAAGGGATAGTTGAATTCTGTGTGCATGATTATTACCGTTATTGCTTTTAAAGATGAAGTTGAGTTCTGGACATGCGATTGCATTGTGAAAGAAACGAGTGTGGAATCGACCAGAAAAGGTTGATCATCTAGCATATAAGAATTGGTGTGTATTGCAAGGTTCTGGAATCATCAAAATGATAAGAAATTGGCCAAGTCTTGGTAAAGTTACAAACACTGTACACAGAAAGATGTATATGGAACTACACAAACACGTGGCGTAAAAAACCTACCCCCCCCCCCCCCCCCCCGAGTTTTACGATGTCCATGACATATTTAGAATATGAAGGCATTTGAAGAGCCATGCTTTTCAGGGAACATCTTTTCTGATGTTCTTCCACACTTGCATAATAAGAATGATAACGCTCACAAATTATTTTTCACCTCTTCCCAGAACTCAACCTTCTCTTTAATCTTATCTAGACCTATGACATTTGTAGTGCCCTTTTAGAACCTAAAATTGCTATGAAGGTAATTTTAGACCCCAAAATGTGTGAAATCTAGCCAATATACGCTCATACCGATTCGGCTCCACTTTCAAAAAAATACGGTGACCGTTAATTTATTATTTAATTAAAAATAACAATACATGATCTGGCTGGTGGTGCGTAATGTAACCAACACGAACATGTCGACAAAAAAGCCAACATCGGCATATTGGCTGAGTTCCTTTTCTCAACTGCTTTTTCAAATTATCTAATATTTGTGGTGGTGGATCTGAGAGGATCGAAGACATTACGGTAGATATAACTTCACACAGGCGCGCGCCCGCCCGCAACCCACCATCGGTATGCACTTGTATTGTAGATCTAGGGGCCGTTTCTCGAAACCGTCATAACTACAAGATCAACGACATCTCGCCAATGTCGCACAACTTGTCAGCTAAGTGTTTCACGAAGCCGTCTTTGCCAAGATGAGCGACAACTTCCGCGACAAGCGAGTTGTCACTGCTCCGAACCTGTCATATCTTTTTAATTGCTGTAAAGCGCCATCACAAGTCAGTTTGTTGCCATTTCATGGGCCGAGAAATGGACGATTAGTTTCATTATCATTTTGAGAAAAATATAGACGAGTTCGGTACGTAATTCTCTGGGATGCGAAATGCAAATGTACAAAAGTGAGAATACAAATTATACAGAAACTTTAAAAAGCTGAATATAAACATTAAATCACAAATCATTAAACTATAACATATAAATAAGAGAGATAAGAATGTTACACACCGTTTTCCATAGTCGATCCATAGTCTTTTCTTAGGATACCGTCATACCTTTCGGGCCTATGTGCATTATTATTCCCTTTCTAATTACTTCTTCCAAATTATATTTTCAATATCAAATCAATTATATAACGAGTATTTAGGAGACTCTAGAATAAAAACTGGCTGAGAAAAGGCATTTTGCCTAAAATTCCTCGTCACAATAAACAAAAAAAGTACGTATTGATAAACTATCACATTACGGTATCCTTCATCTAACTTTTGATTCAACTGTCAAAAAAAAACACTCACCGGTTTTTCTTCAATTTAAGAATCTTTACAGAAATATGCAAATCGATTAATGATGTAAATATGATTATGACAATATTTATTATTTATTTTAGGAGAATTTATATGTATATCTTTCTTTTTGAACAATTTTAGACCCAAAACTTGTTTTGGGTTATTCTTCATAAATCAAATGGATCGTGACAAAGACTATCTTCTTGAGCTGCTAGTATCGCGATATATCGATATCATGTCTGTCATGGCTTTGTGAAACAGTTTATCCACTTCATGACATCTCCGTAGGTCGGCGACAAAGATATGACTGTCATGGTCATGGAGTTGGTTTCGAGAAACGGCCCCCTAGGCTACAGCGGTTTGCTGTGAAACCTGTGAAAAAATGTATACTAATCGTAATATCATTGTTTTCCCAAAAATAACAAGAAAATTGACATGAAACAGGTAATAAACATAACAACTTTTAACTCATGATCTTTATTTGGACATTTAATTAATATTTACTTCATTTTGGGTATGTTTTAGTAGGGTATCTCCACGCCAGAGTTACGGGTCATAGTTTGGATATATACCTGACTGAACAAGTGCGAGTTACTCGCGCTTCAGACCTACGGGTCAAATTTTGGATCCGTTTCTGAACAAGCGCCGATTTTGGTATTGGCCTTGAATTCCTACTCATTTATGAATATTTACTTCATTTTTCATGTTTTTGGTAGGTTTTAGTAGGGTAGCTCCACGCCGGAGTTGCGGGTCAAATTATGGATAAGTTTCTGAACAAGCACCATCCACTCTAACTCCAGGAAATTCCGACGCCTTCTTGACGCCTTCGGCATCGGCGTCGGAGCTTCCTGGAGTTAGATCCACTCCAGCAAAGCATAGATCTAGCCCACACATAGGAGCATCACTAATCCTGGCTGTGTAGTAAAAGCTGTGCTTTTGATTCTCAACATTTCAAACACCACTGTACAAAACTCAACCATGTCAACTGATAGCTGATTTCACTCAAAATTGGTACTTTAGTGACAATTGATGACACCTAAATAGGTCTAGCAGTAAAATACATTTTTTTCAACTTACTGATGTTAAAAAGAATAATTTAAAAATTCAAATTGTAAGTTATAAAGTCTAACGTTAGTGTCAAACTTTGCTTACAGCTGCATCGACATGATTGTGTACAGTCTATGCGATATTGTGTGGTGTGTATATTTGTGTATAGACTTAGGTCCCTGCCTCACAGCATGTATGCAGTGCTAGAGGTACGCTTTAGCATTGACTCTCTATGCTTTGCTGGAGTGATCTAGCCTAGAGTCATTGCTACTCCAGGGAGCTCTCACGCGACGCGACGCCGAGTTACAAAGAACGTAGATCTACTTACGTTAGTTCTTGGGCTTAATATGGAGGAAATTACGGTTATCATCAAATTCTTCAACAAATTAATTTGGGAACATTTGAATGCGATCTCCTCTCAGGTTGTTCACGGATCCGAGATAATTTAACTCGATTATTCAGGAGTATTTATCGCTCCTTGAAAACTGGCGACCAATAAGACTAAGAGGAGGATAACCACTAATAATGGGTTCTATAGTGTCTCTAAATCGTACAATCGAAAAGGAAAAGGAGAATTTTGCACGTCAAGGCTGACGGTATAACAACAATAGGAAATCTAATCTCTTTCTAGTAAGAGATAAGATTTGGATGTTTTTAAAACTATCTCATGACATTTTAACTAAATGAAACGAAATCGCATGGGGTGAAATATTTAAAAAACGATGGAGCAAAGCGACAGAGCGACCAAGCGGGGGTATGTCTAAGCATTTGCAATTTTAGAACCACATAAAGGCGCATTTTCAGGCACTTCCTGGTGAAATATGACGTAAAATAGATTTCCTCTACCCCTCCAAGAGTAGGGATCTTTTGCAATTTGAGAACCACATTTGGGGCCAGTCACCACGAAATGAGTCCAGTGTCGCATTAGGCTCAATAGCGATGTATAGTGTGTATGTACTGAAAATTGACCCACCTACCACATTTAAGATTTTTCCAAAAATCGACTTATTAATGTCTTGTAGTTTATGTCCCCAGAGCTTAGGTCACGAAAATATCTCCTTCTAACATTTTTTGGCAAATAATATAGGCTATGTTACGCATCATTAACTTTACACCTAATTATCTCAAAACTGGGTAATCCCATTGTTTATAAAGTCCAATTAGGTTTTTGTTCATATTTCTGGATATAATTTATCAATTTTAATGTGTGACCCCTTAATTTAAAGCTTATTTAATGTAGATTCATATAATACTTAAAAACAGGAATAAAAATTTTGACCAACTGGACTCATTTCGTGGTGACAGGCCCCATTTGGCGCATTAATGTCCACCGGCACTTCCTGGAAAAAAGCGAGACTTTCTCATTGGTTGGAAGTTAGAGAAAAGTGATCTGTCACGTCGCGAGACGTTGTATGTGCTTCGTTGCTGTACATTAGTAACAAAGACGGTGGTTAGGTACTTGACCATGGCCTACTTGCAAAAATTATCTAGAGTTTATAAACCGTGTTGCAGCAGGGTGTGACGGTCTGAATATTCATTAATGTTCAGATTTGTGAGGTCGCAGTGCGAAAATTACATCTCATAAAGAGGGAAAATCCCAACCATGATGGGGTTTATAAGCGCATTCTCATAACGGAAGACTGAAAAGAGCACATTTTTTTGTGTGTGTATGTCTTAAAATTTGAAAAATTGGCCGATAGATATTTCGTTCCGTTGGGGGGGGGGGGGGGGGGGGGGGCTTTTCATTCTTTATGAGAATATTTTTCTCTTCAAGTATGTTTTCAAGTATATTTTAAAATTAGTTTTCTATTGAATTGGTGATCAAATCACCATTTTAGGGCAGTTGTTTGACGTGCGGAACGATAAAAAAAAAAAATTGTTTAAATTTAAAAAATAATCCAAAAAAAACGTAATACCGTAATTCGGAGGAAAAAAACGGAGTAATTCCGACAATAACGGAATGGTGAGCAGCTCTGCCTAACCCATTCCTTTCTCTCACTCTCTCTCTCTCCCTAACCCACCCCCTCTCTCTCTCTCTAACTCACACCTCTCTCTCTCTCTCTCTCTCTCTCTCTCCATAACCCACCCCCTCTCTCTCTCTCCCCCCGTACCAACCTCTCTCTCTGTCTCTTTCCCTAACCTACCCCCCCCCCCCCCCCTCTCTCTCTCTCTCCCAAACCCACCCTCTCTCTGTGTGTCTCTCCCTGATGGGGCTTTCACATAATATACTCCAGGGCCCCGTACGGCGAGTAAAAACAGACATTTTGGGAATTTTCGGCCGGTATCCAGCCGGCTGCCGTAAAGTTCCGACGGGCGCCAGGACAGTTTTTTAAGCCGTGAGGGCGCCGGGGTGCTGAGTTGGCTGCTCCCAATTCTCCCGGCGTTTTTATCTGACCGTTAGGCCCTATAAAGCCCGTAAAGGGCCCGTAGAGCACCTTACGGGTTCCGTGCGGGCTCCGGACGGTGACCGGACGGGCCCCTCACGATTTTGTTGGGTAAATTGTCATGAAAAATCTTTACGAGCGCCTTGCGGTGCTCAAGGGTGCCGTACGTGTACCCTACGGCTCCCTCACGGGCCCTTCAAGACCCCTGTGATATGCACAACACCGGGCGTCTGCCGTCCGGGGGTCATTCGAAATGAATATTGCCCGTGCGGGCACCTCACGACGACATCTCAAAATGAACAACGCAGCTTTAAATACAGGAGGTGCGGATATCAGAGGACACATAGTTCAGTGCATGGCACGGAACCCGCCCGGGCGCCACGGGTGCACCTGCTCATGGGAAGGAGCCCGTAAGCTTACCGGCCGGTGTGACGGCAGATCTTGTTACCTTGGCGGATCGTGTTCTCGGAACAAAATCTGCCTAGCAGATATCGTGATCAGCAGCGGATATCGTACCCGCTACAACCAAATCTGCCGTTAGTGAACACGGCGGATAATGTGCATTGGCGGATTTTGTTCCTATATAGCTACAGGCAGTGGCGAACCTGGCATACCGCGTCAGGGGGGGGGGGGGGGGGGGGGGGGGGGGGGGGGGGGGGTGTTGTTTTTTTTTTGGGGGGGGGGGGTTTTCCCCCCTCCCACGGTATTTTGATGTTTGCGATCGCGCGATCGCGCGATCGCGCGATTTCATGCATACTATATTTTGATATATGTAAATCAATGAAGCTGTATATTTGTTTGTTATATATTTTGTACTGAATGAATACAATAAAACAATACTACAAAAAAAAAAAAAAAATACCCGTACCTTACTTATGTTTTGTTGATTTGAAAAGTCTTCATAATTCGAAAAAGATTGTTTTATTGGGAGGGGGGGGGGTTAGGGTTAGGGGTGTGACACCCAAATTTGCTGCCAACTTTTAAGGGTGCGACGTCATCCAAATTTGCCGATTAACAAATGCATAGCATCTACCACCCTCCTTCCCTATCCTAAATGTTAATTATTCCATGGTTTAATTAGGCTCTTATCAAATTAAAAAACCTTTTGAAGTAATCATTACCCCCTATAATATTGAAACATGCAACCAATTTGTTTCTACATCGTGATCGACCTGAAAACAAATACAAAAAAGTAATTAGCCCCCTTTTTGTATCTGAATCCACATATCAGTGATAAAAAATAATCATGCGAGCGCGAGGCATTACGAACTGATTTTTCCCTCAACAGTGACAGGAACTGGGCTTATGAAGCCCTTCAAAATTTCTGTCGGCAAATGCGTCACTCTTTTCCTCTTTCCTTCCCTACTTCTTTCATTTTTTTTCTCTCTCTCTCTCTCCTTTTTTCTTTCTCTTTTTCTTTCCTTTCTTTCCCTTTTTTCTTCTTTTCTTTCTTTTTCTTTTTCTTTCCTTTCGTTTCCCTTTTCTCTTTTCTTCTTTTCTTTCTTTTTCTTTTTCCTTCCTTTCTTTTCCCTTTTCTCTTTTCTTCTTTTCTTTCTCTTTCTTTTTCGTCGGGGGGGGGGGGGGGAGCAATCCGGCCCCTTCCCCCCCATAGGTACGCTAGTGGCTACAGGACATGGTCTGATAATTCTATCGTGAATAACATGGCGGATTGCTAGACTTAAATTGTCTGATTTGTTCGTATTGGACATCGAATCTGTAGGCTATTCCGAAAAGCATCCCCCCTTTATTGCATTGACGCCCACAGGCGGCAAAGCCTTGTTGTCTCTCTTTCTTCTTGTCCATTCTTCTTGTCCATCGTTCTAATTTTATGTTAAAACCAGCATAATTGACATTTTGGCATTTTTGTTTATTTATGCCCGAGTGGGTCTAATGGCCTCTAGAGGCCTATACATAAGACCTCCTCCCCAACTGCTGTTTTAACAGAAATAAATCATAATTTAATTACGTATTTATTTCATTTCATTAAACATTTTTCCTGTGATCCAGTCTCTGTGCTTTTTCATTTTCTTTCTTTTCATTTATAACTAAAATGAAGGCAGATATGGGAAGGGTCATGATTGGTCAGAGCAAATTGACGTGTTTGTTTGGAATCTTTCAAACTTTTGTATTACTGCATTTGTTAGCCAAGAAAACCTTTTAGAATAAAACAACCTGACTCCCATAGTAGCGTTTTAAACATTGGTAAGCCCCCCCCCCCCCAAAAAAAACCAAACAGATTCCTTTGATTTTATATGATAAATTGCAAGAAATAGAAATTATCAACGGCTTCGATCATTTCTTTAAAAATAGATTTATAAGCTAATAAAACAATATAGACCTAATAAACTTAAATTTGTTTTACCCCTATTTTCAAACTATTCTCGAATCCTTACAGAGTATAATTCAGGTTATTTTGCCACCTTTAGAAGTTGTCCGCATCCAATAGACGAAAAGGATTATATTGTATTTCTTTATCAATTTAAAATTTGCCATTACTGTGCTGCATCCCTTACAGATTTATAACATTTTTTTTTATTCGGTTGTACTGATTACGAAACTTGAATTGTGGGGCCGGGGGGGGGGGGGGTGATCGAGGCTCTTTGCATCATCCCATATCCTCCCTTCATTTTTTTAATTTTTTTTTTTTTTTGGGGGGGGGAGTGAACTTTAAGGTCACTCTACATGATAGAAAAAACAGATTTTAAATATCATAAACTATTTTCTTAATTGTAATGGGTTTCATCAGTATAGTTATTGTTCAATACTGTAAAGACAGTGTAGGACACGGGCGAGCTGATGTGGATAGCGAATTTTTGGAATCATTGGAATTTTTATTTCAAAATAATTATAGCGCAAATTCCCTCACAGTCATCGTCCTTTCATTAAAACTAACGGTGTAGCGTTTTGGGAAAATAAACCTTGAATTTCTGGTACACCTGCCCTCGCTTTCTATCAGCACAAATAGTGAAGATATAGCAATTCTGATACAGAAAGAGAAAAAGATTTGCGAGCGAGCGAGCAAGCCAAAATAATGAAGTTTTTTTTTCACAGAAATGTTTTTTCTTCTTTTTCATCCAGCATAATTCTATTGTCAAGGAGGGGTGTACAAATTGGCGATTATGGAGGAGGATTATTGTTTACTTTCCTTCATAAGACACAAAGTGTAATATACATGTTGGTCGCCTTTCTATCACAATGGATTACCATCTTTATCAGAAAGGAACTTGGATTATGATAATAATCGAGAACATACTTTGTGAGCAAGCGAGTGATCTGGAATTTTTTTTAAAACTTCGTCATAGAACGCTTGTTTTTATATCCAGAGATATTTTTTATTCATATATAGATTGACTTTTTGAAATAGTGATAAAAAATATCATCATTGTCTGGAATATACTGTTACAATGAAGATCCTGGTGATAAATACAATGAAAATAAATAGTGCTTGAATGAAATAAGTATAACTAGAGATGATATTCCTCTTTTAAGAGAAAACTCTTAATAAGAGCGGCCTCTTGCTCGAACTCGTACTCGCACTCAGCATCCATGGTGGTATACAGTATAGTACTACGGTACACATGCAATTGCAATCGCACGCAGCCTAGCCAGCATGCATGCATGCATGCAGCAAGCGGAGACCGTATACCACTCATAAAAACGATACCTTCAGAATGGAACGATAGCTGCAAAACGGAACACTATCTGCCAGCCACTCTGCGTGGTGGGTTACAATATCTGCCGGCAGATTTTGTGACGGGAACAATATCTGCCGGCGGATTTTGTTCCGCGAACACGATCCGCCAGTCACACTAAACGCCGTCACACCGGTGTGACGGCGTTTAGTGTGACTGGCGGATCGTGTTCGCGGAACAAAATCCGCCGGCAGATATTGTTCCCGTCACAAAATCTGCCGGCAGATATTGTAACCCACCACGCAGAGTGGCTGGCAGATAGTGTTCCGTTTTGCAGCTATCGTTCCATTCTGAAGGTATCGTTTTTATGAGTGGTATACGGTCTCCGCTTGCTGCATGCATGCATGCATGCTGGCTAGGCTGCGTGCGATTGCAATTGCATGTGTACCGTAGTACTATACTGTATACCACCATGGATGCTGAGTGCGAGTACGAGTTCGAGCAAGAGGCCGCTCTTATTAAGAGTTTTCTCTTAAAAGAGGAATATCATCTCTAGTTATACTTATTTCATTCAAGCACTATTTATTTTCATTGTATTTATCACCAGGATCTTCATTGTAACAGTATATTCCAGACAATGATGATATTTTTTATCACTATTTCAAAAAGTCAATCTATATATGAATAAAAAATATCTCTGGATATAAAAACAAGCGTTCTATGACGAAGTTTTAAAAAAAATTCCAGATCACTCGCTTGCTCACAAAGTATGTTCTCGATTATTATCATAATCCAAGTTCCTTTCTGATAAAGATGGTAATCCATTGTGATAGAAAGGCGACCAACATGTATATTACACTTTGTGTCTTATGAAGGAAAGTAAACAATAATCCTCCTCCATAATCGCCAATTTGTACACCCCTCCTTGACAATAGAATTATGCTGGATGAAAAAGAAGAAAAAACATTTCTGTGAAAAAAAAACTTCATTATTTTGGCTTGCTCGCTCGCTCGCAAATCTTTTTCTCTTTCTGTATCAGAATTGCTATATCTTCACTATTTGTGCTGATAGAAAGCGAGGGCAGGTGTACCAGAAATTCAAGGTTTATTTTCCCAAAACGCTACACCGTTAGTTTTAATGAAAGGACGATGACTGTGAGGGAATTTGCGCTATAATTATTTTGAAATAAAAATTCCAATGATTCCAAAAATTCGCTATCCACATCAGCTCGCCCGTGTCCTACACTGTCTTTACAGTATTGAACAATAACTATACTGATGAAACCCATTACAATTAAGAAAATAGTTTATGATATTTAAAATCTGTTTTTTCTATCATGTAGAGTGACCTTAAAGTTCACTCCCCCCCCAAAAAAAAAAAAAAAAAAATTAAAAAATGAAGGGAGGATATGGGATGATGCAAAGAGCCTCGATCACCCCCCCCCCCCCCCCCGGCCCCACAATTCAAGTTTCGTAATCAGTACAACCGAATAAAAAAAAATGTTATAAATCTGTAAGGGATGCAGCACAGTAATGGCAAATTTTAAATTGATAAAGAAATACAATATAATCCTTTTCGTCTATTGGATGCGGACAACTTCTAAAGGTGGCAAAATAACCTGAATTATACTCTGTAAGGATTCGAGAATAGTTTGAAAATAGGGGTAAAACAAATTTAAGTTTATTAGGTCTATATTGTTTTATTAGCTTATAAATCTATTTTTAAAGAAATGATCGAAGCCGTTGATAATTTCTATTTCTTGCAATTTATCATATAAAATCAAAGGAATCTGTTTGGTTTTTTTTGGGGGGGGGGGGCTTACCAATGTTTAAAACGCTACTATGGGAGTCAGGTTGTTTTATTCTAAAAGGTTTTCTTGGCTAACAAATGCAGTAATACAAAAGTTTGAAAGATTCCAAACAAACACGTCAATTTGCTCTGACCAATCATGACCCTTCCATATCTGCCTTCATTTTAGTTATAAATGAAAAGAAAGAAAATGAAAAAGCACAGAGACTGGATCACAGGAAAAATGTTTAATGAAATGAAATAAATACGTAATTAAATTATGATTTATTTCTGTTAAAACAGCAGTTGGGGAGGAGGTCTTATGTATAGGCCTCTAGAGGCCATTAGACCCACTCGGGCATAAATAAAACAAAAATGCCAAAATGTCAATTATGCTGGTTTTAACATAAAATTAGAACGATGGACAAGAAGAATGGACAAGAAGAAAGAGAGACAACAAGGCTTTGCCGCCTGTGGGCGTCAATGCAATAAAGGGGGATGCTTTTCGGAATAGCCTACAGATTCGATGTCCAATACGAACAAATCAGACAATTTAAGTCTAGCAATCCGCCATGTTATTCACGATAGAATTATCAGACCATGTCCTGTAGCCACTAGCGTACCTATGGGGGGAAGGGGCCGGATTGCTCCCCCCCCCCCCCCGACGAAAAAGAAAGAGAAAGAAAAGAAGAAAAGAGAAAAGGGAAAAGAAAGGAAGGAAAAAGAAAAAGAAAGAAAAGAAGAAAAGAGAAAAGGGAAACGAAAGGAAAGAAAAAGAAAAAGAAAGAAAAGAAGAAAAAAGGGAAAGAAAGGAAAGAAAAAGAGAAAGAAAAAAGAGAGAGAGAGAGAGAAAAAAAATGAAAGAAGTAGGGAAGGAAAGAGGAAAAGAGTGACGCATTTGCCGACAGAAATTTTGAAGGGCTTCATAAGCCCAGTTCCTGTCACTGTTGAGGGAAAAATCAGTTCGTAATGCCTCGCGCTCGCATGATTATTTTTTTATCACTGATATGTGGATTCAGATACAAAAAGGGGGCTAATTACTTTTTTGTATTTGTTTTCAGGTCGATCACGATGTAGAAACAAATTGGTTGCATGTTTCAATATTATAGGGGGTAATGATTACTTCAAAAGGTTTTTTAATTTGATAAGAGCCTAATTAAACCATGGAATAATTAACATTTAGGATAGGGAAGGAGGGTGGTAGATGCTATGCATTTGTTAATCGGCAAATTTGGATGACGTCGCACCCTTAAAAGTTGGCAGCAAATTTGGGTGTCACACCCCTAACCCTAACCCCCCCCCCCCCCCTCCCAATTAAACAATCTTTTTCGAATTATGAAGACTTTTCAAATCAACAAAACATAAGTAAGGTACGGGTATTTTTTTTTTTTTTTTGTAGTATTGTTTTATTGTATTCATTCAGTACAAAATATATAACAAACAAATATACAGCTTCATTGATTTACATATATCAAAATATAGTATGCATGAAATCGCGCGATCGCGCGATCGCAAACATCAAAATACCGTGGGAGGGGGAAAACCCCCCCCCCCCCCAAAAAAAAAACACCCTCCCCCCCAACCCCCCCCCCCCCCCCCCCCCCCCCCCTGACGCGGTATGCCAGGTTCGCCACTGCCTGTAGCTATATAGGAACAAAATCCGCCAATGCACATTATCCGCCGTGTTCACTAACGGCAGATTTGGTTGTAGCGGGTACGATATCCGCTGCTGATCACGATATCTGCTAGGCAGATTTTGTTCCGAGAACACGATCCGCCAAGGTAACAAGATCTGCCGTCACACCGGCACCCTGCCAACACGGGCGCCTTGCATTTCACCCGACCAATTTTCACCGGGCACCGCAGAAAATGTGACCACACAATGACGTAGAAATTAAAATCAGAAGGTTCCCGTACGGTCTATAAATCCACGGCAAGCCGCCGGGTAGGGAAAATCGTACGGGGCCCGGTTTATAATTTATGTGACCTAGGCATAACCCGCCCCTCTCTTTCTCCCTCCCTAACCCACCCTCTCTCTCTCTCTCTCTCCCTAACCCACCCTCTCTTTCTCTCTCCATAACCCACCCCTCTTTCTCTCTCTCTCTCTCTCTCTCTCTCCCTAACCCACCCTCTCTCTCTCCCTCGATCCCTGTCTCTCTCTCTCGCTCTCTCTCTCTCTCCCTAACCCGCCCCTCTCTCTCTCTTTCCATAACCCACCCTCTCTCTCTCTCTATCCCTAACCCATCCTCTATCTCCCTAACCCACCCCTCTCTCTCTCTCTCTCTCTCTCTCTCTTTCCCTAACCCACCCTCTCTCTCCCTAACCCCTCCCCTTTCTCTCTCTCTCTCTCTCTCTCCCTCTTTCCCTAACCCACCCTCTCCCTCTCATCCACCCTCTCTCCCCCTAACCCACCCCTCTCTCTGTCTCCCAAACCCACTCCTATCTCTCTGTCTCTTTCCTTAACCCACCTCTCTCTCCCTCTCTCTCTCCCTCTCTCCGTCTGTCTCTCTCTCTCCCTTACCCCCTCTCTTCACCCCTCCCCCTCCACTCTCTCTCTCTCTCTGTGACTTACTTATCCCCAACTCACAATTTACATTTGTACATACTGTTAGTGTAAAAATAAAGGATATTTATTTCATAAAACGGAGAAGGAGCAGTGGAATACTTTGTTACAAGTTCAAAGATGAATTTCTGAAGGTTTTAAGGAATCAAAATTAATAGAAAATTAACGATGAGTTTCAATACAAATAATAAACCTAAACAGGATTACTTAAAGGTACTATGTCCCATTTGCAGGCCAAAAAAATGAAAAGGTTAACTTCCAGCAGCATTTGAAAGATAATACTAATTTAGAACTTCCCTAAAGAAAGTGGGGCTAGAAAAAGTCTTCAAGTGAGAAAATAATGACTATTAGTTGTCAAATCGACTTAGGAGCTATAGAGCCAGTAAGTAATAGTCTTGACTTTTAGACCATTGCAAAGATTCAATCAGTTTAATTTTGGCCATCACAAGAAGTGGGTTATTGATGTAGACAAATGCTCATGTACCCTTTACAGCTCATGTTATGTATGTTATTACCAGAGAAGAAAAAAAGCCAGTCAGTCACTCAATAGTGTCTGACAGTGAAGTCTAGCAAGTAAATGAGTTTCCTTGCGTAATTTGAATATTAGGACACTGCTAACATTTAAATTTCACAGATAGGACATACATGACATATTCCTAATTCCTGCAAAGTTCTACAGAATTTGATGTTGGCTGCAAAAGGGACAGAGTACCTTTAAAGTGAAACAATCACCAAAACATGTTTTGATCTTGACGCAAGGGGTTCCATGTGGCTAAACTCTCTTCAAATAATTTTGAGCTTCCAAAATTAATATTACAACATAAATGCTTTCTCAGTGAACAGTAAAATGTCTTGTTGAGGAGACTACCATTACTTGTTTTTTTAGGCGTGGTTTTGTTAGTTTCAGTATTTTTAATTTTTTAAATAATTGATAAAAAATATTGTATGATTAAAATAGCGTTAGGAGGCGCGATAGCTCAGTCGGTAGAGCAGTGGTCTCGTAATCCGGTGACCCGGGTTCGAAACCAAGGCGATGCGCTAGTGCCCTTTGTTAAGGCATTATTCCTCATTACCAGGTCCCTCGGAGAGGACCTAAAGCTGTTGGCCGTCTGGTTGCTTACTGAAAAGCATTTATGCTTTCTTAGCTGTCAGGTAAAATAACAACCAGTCAACCACCACCATTTAAAAAAGATATGTGTTTAATTCAATACTTCACATGTATGTACAATTTGTTATTATTTCATTACGGTCTATACTGTATGTTTATGTACTGTTATTGTATTATGCAGGGCTTCCTTGAAAAGCAGGTCCACTAGCAATCTTCCTGGGGAACTGAATAAAATTACCCTGTTGAAAAAAAAACATGAAGAAATAAATATTACTTAAGACAAAGAACAATCTCATAGAATAGGGTGCACATGGTATCCAAGTACAACTTGGGTTCCCTGTGGGCCCTATATACAAAGGGTTTTATGTTATCCCAGGGGTCTCAGTCATGTAGAAATACCGTAAGCATGCGTGACCACAGGTTTTACGGACACTCCTTAAACGAGGATTTCTTCTCGAGCCAAAATATACCCTAAATGAGGATTTCACATGGTTTTCCCCAAAATTCACACCCTTAACAGGTTTTTCACAAAAGTTTACTCCTAAACAAGTATTGCAAAATTGTAACCCCTCGAGTAAGCATTTTGAAGTGTGATAGGGATTACCATTTAAGTTGTTGACAATGTAAAATAAACCAAATTGCGCTTTTTATGTAAAATTCACAATATAAAAATGTATTTCAATAGAGAAGCAATAACATCAACCTGTACACTTCCAAATGGGTTTAATGCACAGCACATCATAAGTCCTTTCTTTGAAAAAAAGAATTACATTTCAAATTGGATCTATATTATATGAATACGTACCAGTACATGTAGTGTTTACAAAAAGAACACAATATACAATGAACAGCTACTATTCTACTATTCAAAACAAAATATAAATGTATATACCCTGGTAATACCTGAGGAACACATGTACAAATTTACTGGTAGGCAACCGGCAAGTCGCAGTCGGGGTCTTTAAAAATAGCCCTAAACGTGCACAGCAGGATTTTGAAAAAGTACCCTTTTTCTTGAAAATGGACGCAGACCCCATGACTTATACAAGCCGATCGCCTGTCTGATTCTCAAGACATTGATGATTGGAAATCAAAATTTCAAATATCGTTCTCCTAAGGTTTGTTATAACACTACAGTTTATTGGGGAAAATGAGTATGGTAAAACCAGTCACTCAAAGATGTTCACCGTATTTTTTTGAGGCACTTCACGATCAGTTTGAATTTTTTTAGGGCTTCAATTTCACATCATATAACAGACACTGATAATGCTTATAATATAATACTAATATTTTGATATGTGACGGCATTAGAGGATGTACTACATTTTCCAATACGCATTTGATATCGTCAATTTATAGCTTGAGTTACAGAATAATAAGACAAATAATTTAGTTTCAAGGAGAATTTTTTTTCTTCTTCAAACCGGTTCGAGTACGCCGTATTAATGGAATAGACGAGTTTTTGAATGCCTGCTGTTAGGCTGTTGTTGTTAACAACACCTTGGATGTTAAGAGGCTTAAAACAATTTTTTTTTTAAAGAACAGTTTTCCTAGGCCTAAATCTCAGAGTTTTTTTGTTTTTTTAATTGATGAAATTGCTGATTGTAAGTGTGCACTATTATTAAGCAGGCAGCAAACCATGGTTGTACCATGCTTTGTTTATTGTGACGTCAGAGGGTAATTTTGTTCGATTAATTTGTTCCATTGCACAGTGAAGTCACTTACACCTCACAATATACTTTGTACATGTACATCAGTGCAATGGTGCAAATCGATCATACAGAATTGCACGCCTGGAGAATGATGCCGTTCAACATTACTTTTACCGCATGTAATGTGATTAAGAATTGACCAATGAGGTTTCAAGAATCTTAGGTGTTGTATAAATATATGACACTTTTCTGAGAAAATCCTTTCTTACAATAGCAACATTCATATGGCTTTTCTATGTGCGCGGAGATGACGATTGAGTTCACTTTTCAGAGAAAAGCCTTTCTTACAATAGTAACATTCCTATGGCTTTTCTTGTGTATGTGTTCGGAGATGACGGTTAAAACTACTCATATAAGAAAACCCTTTCGTACAATAGCAACATACATATGGTTTTACTCCATTGTGTAAGAGGAGGTGTTCGTTAAGACCCCTCTTCCGAGAAAACCCTTTCTTACAATAGCAACATTCATATGGCTTTTCTTCTTTGTGTAAGAGGAGGTGTTGGTTAAAAGTACCCTTCTGACAAAATCCTTTCTTGCAGTATGAACATTCATATGTCTTCTCTCCTGTGTGTGTTCGGAGATGAAATTTGTGCTCACTTCTCTGAGAAAACCTTTCCGTACAATAGCAACATTCATAGGGCTTTTCTCGTGTATGTGTTTGAAGATGAAGGTTAAGAGCACTCTTCCGAGAAAACCCTTTCTCACAATAGGAACATTCATGTGGCTTTTCTCCTGTGTGTAAAAGGAGGTGTTGGTTAAGATTACTCTTCAGACAAAATCTTTTCTTACAATGTGAACATTCATATTTCTTCTCTCCTGTGTGTGTTAATATATGACGATTGAGGGCACTTTTCTGAGGAAATCCTTTCTTACAATAGCAACATTCATATGGCTTTTCTCCTGTATGCGTTAGTATATGACATTTAAGTGTATTTTTCTGATAAAACCCTTTCTTACAATAGCAACATTCATATGTCTTTTCCCCTTCGTGTAAGAGGAGGTGTTGTTTAAGGTGGTATTTCCTAGAAAATACTTTCTTACAATATGAACATTCATATGGCTTTTCTCCTGTGTGTAAGAGTAGGTGTTGAGTGAGATTGATTTTCCGAGAAAATCCTTTCTTGCAGTGTGAACATTCAAATGGCTTTTCTCCTGTATGTGTTAGTATATGACAATTGAGGGCACTTTTATGAGGAAATCCTTTCTTACAATAGGAACATTCATATGGCATTTCTCCTGTGTGTAAGAGGAGGTGTTTTTTAAGATTGCTTTTCCGAGAAAATCTTTTCTTACAATGTGAACATTCATATGGCTTTTCTCCTGTATGTGTTAGTATATGAGAATTGAGGGCACTTTTCTGAGGAAATCCTTTCTTACAATAGCAACATTCATATGGCGTTTCTCCTGTATGCCGTCGTATATGACAATTAAGTGCATCTTTCCTAGAAAACCTTTTATTACAGTGTGAACATTCATATGGCTTTTCTCCTGTGTGTGTTCGGAGATGATGGGTGAGAGCACTTTTCTTAGAAAACCCTTTCTTACAGTAGCAACATTCATATGGCTTTTCTCCTGTATGTGTTAGTAAATGTATATTGAGTGCACTTTTCTGAGGAAACTCTTTCGTACAATAGCAACATTCATATGGCTTTTCTCTTGTATGTGTTCGGAGATGACGCTTAAGAGTATTTTTCCCAAAAAATCTTTTCTCACATTGGGAGCATTCAAATGGCTTTTCTCCTGTATGTGTTAGAAGATGACGATTGAGGAGGCTTTTCTGAGAGAAACCTTTCTTACAATAGCAACATTCATATGGCTTTTCTCCTGTGTGTAAGAGGAGGTGTTGGTTAAGATAGCTCTTCCTAGAAAATCCTTTTTTACAGTGTGAACACTCATATGGCTTTTCTTCTGTGTGTGTTTTTAAGTGTTGGGTGAGATTGCTTTTCAGAGAAAACCCTTTCTTACAGTGCAAACATTCATGCAGCTTTTCTCCTGTATGTATTAGTATATGACGATCAAGTATACTTTTCTGAGAAAATCCTTTCTTACAGTGTGAACATTCATATGGCTTTTCTTCTGCGTGTGTTTTTAGGTGTTGGGTGAGATTGCTTTTCAGAGAAAACCTTTTCTTACAGTGTGAACATTCATATGGCTTTTCTGCTGCATGTGATCTCAAGTGGAGAAGGGGGTGACTGGCCTGACATGATCTCTTACTGCAACATGGACACTGATGTAGCTTTTCTCCAGAATGTATCCTCAGATAAATGTCGGGTTGATCTGTTGTGGAAAACACCTTGCCGCAATGTGAACAAAGATGAGATTTACCTCCACTGTTGAATGACATTCCACTTTCTACCGTGTCTTGTACGTTGTCAACAATTTCACCTGGTGGAGAAAAAGAGAAAATTCATGTTATCAACACCTATAAGATACAGTGTAAGTCCTGTCACTTCAATTTGACACAGAAGTTTTTGGATTATGTTCTGAACTTCTGAGAAAAAAAAGGAATATGCCAAAATATACTTGACTCTTTAATCACCAATCCACATTTTTAAATATAATTATTCTTTATAGTTTGAGCCAAAAGTATACCAAAAAAAATTAAGAGTATTTTGGGCATTCTTTTCTTAATAGAAGCAGAGTGTAATTCAAGCAGTGAGGCTTGGCCAAGCTAACCCACATACAATTCAGCGAAACTATTAAGTGGACTCTTGTTGTAGATGTAGTTTTTATTATCAAATAACTTTATGTATATTAATGTTAGCTTACCTGTCCTATATAAAAATAAACATTAACAAGTACATGTATATGCAAAGCAGAGCATCCCTTCGCCGAGTACGCATGGCCTATATTTAACAATTTTTGCATATTTAAGGAGCTGTGACCTTTGACGTACATACTCAACAACAATTCTTACATTATTGAATGAAAGCCACATTTTTGCAAACCTGCACCCCACATTTCAGTTACCATTTACCTGAAGGATAAGTAGCCGACATCTTGGACATTTCTTTTTTCAACGAACCGTATTTGAATATTCAATTTACATAATCCCTACCTGGGTATTAAGTAAATCAATGAGATGTTCAACTAATCTAACAATAACTGAAATGTGGGGTGAACCGTGAAGGTTTTTATTCAAAGTCACAGATGTAACAAATAACAGTTTGTAACATGGAAATTACAGCATGTACCATCACCCCCATCCTGACTCCCATGAACACACCACTGAGTCTACCAGGGAAAGTTACAATGCTACAATAAAAAATGAAATTCTAGTTCACTCATGCATAAAAGTTTGGTTGAACAAACCATGAAATTCACTCTGCAAATCATGAATGTATCATATCACCCTCAATTTTGTAAGCTCCAAAGGATTTACCTCTCACAAATTGGAAGGCTATATAATCCCTGCGCAACCTAATTTTCATACCCTTTATAAAAGTGAGCAGTGCTCACCCAAGCATGAATTATTTTCGGACTTTTTGGTGTCATACGAAAGTTAGTTTATGAGCTTTCCATACATATAAAACTTTTTCCCCCAGAATCATTTATTTTTTATTCGGCAGCCCTTTCAAACGTGTATAGTTTTTTTTGGGATGCATGGGGGACGCACGGTATATCGTCCGGTCATGTCATAGGTTAGTGGTTACTACCATAGTTCGGATGCATGAACGTACCATTTCACGGTTCTGAGATAAAATTGGATAACTCATAAGTCCGTAAATTTCTCATTTAGAAATAGGTAATCAAAATTTGATTACTACACATAGGAGTATACAAATATACATAGTATCTGCTTTATAGATAAGAAAATTAGATCTAAATATAGAAAATTGGGGGAGAAAATTTCGGGAACCAAAAGAGGTTCCGCTTCGGCTCTATCTATCTGCCGGTGCGATTCGCCTGGGATACCGTCTGTGTATGGGGAATGTCAAAAAATTCAGTTTTATTAAAGAAATGACCCATACCCGTCTTACCAGACGGTTATTTCTGTCTATGCTAGCGCTAGCTATGTGACTTGTTTACTATTTTGCACGTAGTCCTAGGTATATTGATTTGTGTAGGAGTCACCCATAAATTGGTGTGATGCCAATGCAAATAGTCATAACAAATTTCTTACTGAATGATGATTACATGATGGATGACCGTCATGACGAATTCAGCACCTTTTCTAATGCCCAAAACGAGGGGTCTCTATAGTATTATAATTTATAGACGGCACTACTCCATCATCACATTCACAGAACAAGAGGCAGAGGCAAATGTAGCATGCACACGTACAAATTGTCCCTCTAGGGCCATTGAGTACAAAAAAAAAATAATAATTAACAAGCAAAGGTATACGTCCATTTTGTGGATTTTCACGTCTTTGACATGAAATCCACAAATTTGTTGCATAGGTATTATGTCAAATTTTGCGTTTGCGTGTCCCATAGGAGCCAACATACGGGTACCTCATTACACTGTTGTGCACAGCCTTAATCAAAATGACTGAATACTTGAGTGTATTTTCATAACATTTAAACCAAACCACCCATATAAAGTTAACAGTTAAATGTTTAGCAAAAAAAAAAACGTAATGACTCAGGCATACTTTGTATACAGGTTTCACTGGAATATCAATTCAAGAAATACCTTCTAGACTTGATGGAACACCTTCCTCTTCACTTTCTTCTGTAGGTTCTTGCTTGATATTGGTTTTGAGGGGTAACTGATCGATTTCCTCTCCAACTGTTGAAAAGGCCTCTGCTTCTTCCTTGATGAGAACTTCTATGACTGATGGAATGAATTCATTCATGGGTGACAGGTAATGAACGGCATTGCTCTCAACTTCTTGCTTGATGAGAACTCCTTCAACAAATTGAATAGTTTCCTCTGGAGGTGGCGAAGTATGTAAGGTCCAACTCTCTGCTTTTTGCATAATGTGTTCTGGGACTGATAAGATTTGGAGGTCTTACTTTCCATTTCTTGCTTGTTAGTATGTCCTAGGGTTGTTTCTATGCACATATCTGTAGAATGCAGTGTACTCAAGGTCCTACTCTGAACTTCTTGCTTGACATTATCTTCTGGGACTGACTGAACACCTTCTGCTGCACTCCTATCCGTTGTTCTGAGAAGATTTGATGCCCCTCTCTCTGCTACTTGCTTGATCATATCTTCTGGACTGACTGAAAACCTTCTGCTGCACTCCTATCCGTTGTTCTGAGAGGATTTGATGCCCCTCTCTCTGCTACTTGCTTGACATTATCTTCTGGGACTAAATGGACACCTGCTGCTGCACTCCTTTCCGTTGTTCTGAGAGGATTTGATGCCCCTCTCTCTGCTACTTGAATGATCATATCTTCTGGGACTAAATGGACACTTTCTGCTGCATTCCTATTCATTGTTCCGAGAGGATTTGATGCCCCTCTCTCTGCTACTTGCTTGATCATATCTTCTGGGAATGACTGGGCAGTCTCTGCTACACTTCTATATGTGGTTTGGTGATGATGAAGTGTCCCTCTCTCCATTTCTTGCTTGACTTCTGGGAATGACTGAACAGTCTCTGCTGCCATCAGATCTGTAGGCTGCAATGAATTCAAAGTCCTCACATCTGCTTCTTGCTTTAAGCCTACATTCCCTGAAAATAGAGAGAGAAAACAAAGGTGTTTTACAGGATATCACAAACAGTACTATATTTCATACAGAAAACTTTCATCAGTTGGGGATAATGATAACATGTAGTTTCTAAGCTTCTACCAACCTTAAATTTGTTATGCAAGCTTTCATCCACTCCTGTGGACTTTCGTAAGCTAGGTGATCAGTCTGAGTCACACGTTTGCTTTGCTGCACTGCCTGGTGTTCTGGGATCACTGGACCAAAGATCGTAGACAATAGGTACCCAGAGTCCCTGTTTAGTGATGTCTTAATCCTCTTAATCCATTTGACTCATTCACCTTTCTTGACCAGAAGTTACTTTCAAAGGCTATTATGAAAGCATCCGGTGTTGAGGGCGTGTTCAACTAATGCTGAATGGGATGGGTCAATCCGAGGGCTCTTTTGTGTTCTTTTAGACAACAGGCAGTGCAGCGAAACAAACGTGTGACTCAGACTTATCACTTAACTTGAGAAAGTCCACAGGAGTGGATGAAAGCTTGCATAACAAATTTAAGATTGGTAGAAGCTTAAAAACTATACAGTTGTATGTTAGTACTATTTTTTCTTGCAAAGGGAACCCCATAGGGAGGAAATCATATTCTGGGACTGGGTATTACCAATGTATTGAAAATGAATAGAGGTAGTAGTAGAAGTAGTAATAGAATGTAGTAGAAGTAGTAGTTGCACTGGTAGTAGTGTATTTGGCATTGAAGAAAATACATAAGGAATCAGAAATTGACAATTAAACATGAATACATGTACATGTAGATACCGGTAATGCAACCACTGATAAAGCAACTACTGGAATGCCAGGGACAGATTAAAGACCATCTCCAAACTGAAATGGATAAACCATATATCAAACTGGAGCTTATGAGCCATAGAATACAGTAATTGCTTTTACTTGCTCACAAAGTGTCACGCAGAGGAGAACAAATTGTTTGAAAGCTTGAATTCACAAGCATCAGAACCTAGAACTAATAATCTCACCAAAAAAAAAGAAGATGACTTGAAGATGTCTTTGTATTTACACTGTACAGGCTATAGCCACCGGTCGCTTCGTCACATGTGTTTATGTGCTGTCAACATGGTATGTATATCACTATGTGTTTACATTATAGTAGGGTGTCTGATCATGCACCGATGTTGTGTGCTAAAATCCTTCCCATAGAGATTACACGCATCCCTATGCAGTCTACATGCGTTGCGCGACCAATGCAAAGTTGGTCAATGATTTTATGAACAAATTGAAACTCAATAAATGAGGTGTCATATGAAAGAGCAGGTTTTTCTCCAAATTCCTCAAGGGGGTGCACCCCCGAAATTCTAAAAATATCTTGGTCAAAACAGCGATTGTAATGTTGTTTGCATCCTAGCTCCAAAATTTGCCACTTTCCTGAACCGCGCCCCCGGGTTTATGTCCGGCTAGACGTAAGGAAAATATCTAGCCCCAAGAGATCACTCGCCCTAAGAGTTTAAAAATACCTTTCCCACTATTTGTTGGATCAGCTAATTAGGGAGGCGTGCGCTCCGCTCAGACCAAACCATGGTTACATCGTGCAACATCTGCACATAAATATGCATTCGGACCGCGTACAAATGAAACCCGGAAGTCATTGCATGTTGTAGGGAACTGATGGCTTGCAAATGGCGCTCTCAAACCCGGAACTGAATGAACGTTATAGCCGATGGAGCCGTTTGGCCAAATTTAGCAAAACAACATAACTCTGCTTTTACGTCTTTTTTGTTGAGTCTGACCAAAATGATATGAATATTGCAGAGCTTTGGAGGGGCTGTATCTTTTGATAGAAACATCGGTGAGTCTTGACATTTGAAATGTATTATTTTGATTACATTTTTTATTCACATATATTTTTTTTAAATGGTGAAAAACGATCCCAAATTGAAAATTGAAAAATCGTCCAGACACCCTAGTTACAGATTTTTACATTCAAATATTGCAAACAAAATTGCAACGAATCCCCAATAAATATCAAACAGCTCTATACATGTAGTTTAATGAATCCTTATTAGTAAATGAGCTAAATCAATATGAAACTAGAAATATCGCAATCTGTATTACCGCGCAATGCGAATGTATTCCCCGGCAGTGGCAGTGATTTTGTGTCATCCTTATTGAGGGAGGGTCAAAGATCCCCTCTCCACTCCCTGGACCAGGCCTGACATAGAGATCACTAAAACAATATGTGTGTAGATTAGAGTATAATGCATCTCTGTAGAAAATTTGAAAGAAAGCTGTATGAGTGTTATTCACCGCATTATACGGCAGCAGCACATTTACGGAATGCCAGTCAGAGGTCAACGCCATTGTGTAGAGGATTGTGTAGAGGATACACACAAAAAGGGAATTAAGCTGTATTGCTCTGGTAAGATATTTGCTATCATTTCCTTATTTTTTTCCTCCGAATTTGAATTTCCGGAGATAATTTGGAGTAGAATTCTACTCCAAATTATCTCCGGAACTAGAATTCTACTCCAAATTATCTCCGGAAATTCAAATTCGGAGGAAAAAATGAGGAAATAATAGCAAATCCATCGAGGCCACTGTCCAATATTGGTCGGGTGTGGGAAGGTGTAATTTCGGACACATTTTAGCGTTTGTTTACATGGTTCTCTGCACGCTTGTATGAGAGCCATTTAGCTCGCTGGTAAAATAGCGTAAAACATTACCAGCGAGCCCTTAAGGCTAACCTGACCAGACACTGGAAAAAATAACAGTGGTAAAAATTAGCTTATTTTCTTCATACATACTCAGCTGCATTACTATCCTGGCTGTGTATTAAAAGCTGTGGCTGTGCTATTGTTGATTCTGATTCTCAACATTTCAAACACCACTGTCCACTGTTCAAAACTCAACTGATTTCACTAAAAATTGGTACTTTAGTGACGGTTGATGACACCTAAATAGCATTCAAACACAATTTTGTTCAACTTTCCGATGTTAGACTTAGAAAGGATAATTACAAATTCAAATTGTGAATCTACTGTCAAACTTACCGATCAGCTGCATCGGCATGATTGTGTGCAGTTGTGTGTTGTGAGTGGATCAACTTTTCATGTATTCAAATGCTGCCTAATAACACGTAGAGTGCAGTGGTAGTACTACAGTTAGACATGCCGGGTCTACATGTACTTACCGGGTACGTTCACTGTTGGTCTGAAAATGGAGGAAATTGCGGTTGCCATCAAATTCTTGAACAAATTAATCTGGGAACATTTGAATGTGATCTCCTCTCAGGTTGTTCACGGATCCGATATAAATAAGAGGAGGATAACCACCAATAATGGGTACTATAGTGTCTCTAAATCGTACAATCGAAAAGGAAAAGGAGAATTTTGCACGTCTCGGCTGACGGTAATACAATCTAATCTCTTATATTACTAGTATATAAGAGATTAGATTTTGATGTTTTTGAAAATATCTTATGGCATTTTAACTAAATGATACTGACACCATTTAAAGGTGAGATCTTTCTGCCTGGGTCTTACTGTTTCAGATTGAATCTAGGGCTCAAACAGGCATAGAATACGGGGTTTACCCGCACTATATACAGAGAATAATTGGGCAAAATCCGTTTCATACTTTGAAGGCTTTTAAAACTATCGTATGGCATTGAAGTAAATAATGACCGAGACCCTTTTAAAGTTGAGATCTTACTCTTTACTCCCATATATGTCACATGCCAAAGTAATTTGTCTTTGCAATTTTAGAACCACATTAGGCGCATACCCAGGCACTTCCTGGAGATTTTTTTTGTTGTTTTGTTATGGTCCGCGAAAATTTGAAAAAAAGGTTAAATTTAACGTCCCGCCCGACCTCTGGATCCACCACTGCCTTCTGATTGGTTAGAAGTTAGAGAACAGTACTCTGTCACGTCGCGAGACGTTGTATGTGCTTCGTTGCTGCACAAGTCACAAAGACGGTGATCTGGTACTACCCAAATTTTCACGTGTTTGGGACACATAACAATAAAAATCCCCGTTTGACACTTCATTAGAGAAAGAAGATGATTCGTTGTACCGTTCCCGACTCTTAATTCTTGTTTCGCCCCTCCCGCGCGAAGCACTGCAGCTATGACTTTTCATTTAAATATTAGTGAAAGAAGACGATTTGTTGTAACGTTCTCGACTCTTAATCCTTGTCTGAATTCAGTCCCCCCCCCCCCCCCCCCCCCCCCCCCCCCCCCCCCCCCCCCCACCGCGCGAAGAAGACGATTCGTTGTACTGACTCTTAATCATTGTCTGAATTTTTAAAAATGATTCTTTGTCCGATAAAAAGTCACAATTCGTAAGGAAAAAATTGCCGGCCGGCCCGGTGGGGTCACTCCCCTGCAAAGAGTGACACGTATGACCGTTACCACCAATGCATATAACCCCCTTTTGCGGTCAATTTCAAGGACATTTTGTGAAATTTAACCCCCTTTTTTACGTCAAAACAAGGACAAAATCGTACTTTGGAATACCCCTATTTATAAGATTGTAAGGACACTTTCGCAAATTTACCCCTATTTACCATATTTCAAGGACAAGACTCGGCTCCGAGAATTTTTCTTCCCGGTTTTCTCTTTTCCCTTCCCGGTTTTCTCTTTTCCCTTTTCCTGACCCCTATTTATCAATTTCGGGGACACCTGTGCCCCCC